TAACAGCCAGTGAACCGAATCCCGATCAGGTCTCGGGAGCACGTGCTGTGCGTCCTCAACAGCTGATCGTGACGCCCGTCCATTCGATTAATCCGTGTGATTAACCATCAAGGATGATTATATGCCCGGCGGTTCGCCGGCGGAAAGGTTGTGTCCAACCTAAAGGTTCCCATCGACGATACGATTTGTCGTACGATAAGTTGCACAGAGATCTGGACAAACTGTTAGGATTAGGGCTATTAATATTCGAATAATTTGAATACTCGAATTTTCGAATAGCAGTCAGTTATTATCAAAGAATATCGTATCGTAAATATTTGAATACATTCAGAATATTTCAAATAGAGTTGAATTGGGCTGCTAAGTTTTGATTCTGGACTATTGTGTGGTCGAAGCGACCTGGGTTGTGCCAATCAGTTGTACGACGCAAATCGTATCGTCTGTGGGGCGTTTAACTTGGACCAATTTCGGGTCGAGTTTCATATTGCTTGTGTTGAACGGCCGTAATCGCGAGTTTTCTGCGATTAACCGCTGAAAGAGGTCGTCCAATAGAGGGGACCGTTTACTTAATTAATTGCGGCCGCGACGAGAGAGGACTGGCTCGTTGACCCCGTCGATTCTTGGACTTGGATCACCCTTCGACCGGATTGATTTAATAGCGAGGGAAGGGGGCGAAATGTCTTCCACCGCGAATAGGCGTTAACCCCCTTTTTTTTCTTTTCTTTTTCTTTCTCTGCACTCTGTTTTCGCTGACCTGCGGAGCCGCCTGTTCTGCAATGCGTCAGCTCTCGACTGCTGCACGCAATACCGTGGGTCGCGTAGTGCTTGCGTTTCTTTTTCGATTTTTGCTGTTGGACACGACGTTTCGTAGATGTACGATACGATAATTACGATGGATTTTCTAATCTGTGGTTGGTAGAAGCGGACTGGGCTACTTGTATTCCTCCGAAGTTACAAAATAGATCAGAATCACCTTGGTCCATTGGTAGATTACGCCCATTCTTTGCAACTGACAAAGGTTGGTATATATATATACTCTTTCTCTCATCTTTATGGAAGAGTGGTCGTCAACAAGTTGGAAATAAATCGTCTACTGGTGTATCCTTTGGTATCGTCTGCAGTAGCGGATCAAGGTCCCTCGAATCGTGAGAAGAACATAAACGTCCTCCTGATCCCTTTGCTCTATCGATATATCCTATCTGAACAATCACTTACATTCACTATTGTCTGAAATATTTTTTAATATCGTCAATAGTTTCGAAGACATTCGAGTGGGTCGATTTACATGGGACACCCTGTATATATCCCCCGTTTTCTCGGGACGAATACTCGAACAATGCGTCCTTTTTCCATGGCTGATTATTTCCTGAAGCGATCCAGTCTAAATAGCCTCTCCCGTTAGATTACTTTTCGGCTCGGTGCTCGACCCAGTTGCGGAGTTTCATTCAAGTCGGATGCGTAATAACCGAAGTGTACACGTATACCTCTTGTTGTGAATGAACTGGCGTGTCGGAATTGATGCGCGTTCCCCCTGGAAAGTATAATTCAATTTGCATTTTAGACTATGATACACACTACGCCAAGAAGCTACTGTTCACCCTGGGTGAAGAACCTACCACTTATATCTCTAGCACGTTGCACCCATTTTCTACGGATTCTAGGTTACGTCCAATCGTTTTTTTTCGAGCACGGATACCGCAGGAGTTCTAAAGAAGATTCGAATTACAAATGTCCGATTCCGATTCGATTCTTCAAAAGATTTATTCGATCGTCACTGCCATGTATATGGTAAGATATAGACTAACGATCAAAAGTATGGGACCAGGTCCTCCTATAATTAAAGAATGTGGAATAAAATATTTTACAAAAATATATTCAACAAATATAATATATATTTATTATATTTATTATTTTAAGGACATATAGACTCATTTGGAATTTTCTGAATCGAATTGAAATCGAACTAACAACCCTAATTCGAATGATCACCGCCGAATCAAGGGGAGGGGGTTCGATTCTTCTTCCATGGGTGCTTCCATTTCGTCCTGATTAAATGTTATTTAATTTTATACAGAAAATATTTCAATTTTCGACGATTTATGTTACCTTATTCTGTTTTGTATTACATTGTTTACCCTCCCCCCTTCTCAACCAAGGGGTCCCTCGGAAGTTCGATAGCCCTGGGCCAGAAAAATCTTGATCCAGACCTGCGAATCATCTCCAATGTAGAAGGTTGTCGCGCGGGCTGGACAACCATGTCGGCCATTACTGGGTCACACTCGCCATCGGCTAGCTGGGGACGTTTAACGATCGCGCGATAAGTTCAAGTGCACAAACCATCAAGTCGCACACACACATGGTCTTCATTTTTTTTTCCCTCCTCCGAATATATATACAGTCGTCGATTCACCACCGGTGAACGTGATTGCCTTGCACCACGTACGTACGGCAATCGTGTGACACGTTCGAGATCGATAAGACCTTGCCAGAAGTTAACGACAACTTCCGTGGCAATTGCAACGGAGACGACACGACTAATCGTTCATACATAAATAATCGTCAACTTCCCGTGCAACGTAACTCGGGGGGCGAATAAAAAAAAGTTTTTCGTGAAAACGCTTCGGAAAGTTTCACTGGAACGGTAGCTTATGGTATATACATATTACCTAGAGGTAATTTGGTATTTGCCTGTTTAAGCATTTACTTTTTAATAGAAAACAGTTACACTGCCGACTTTGTGCATGGGTGACATGAAAGTTTGATAAGGATTAGCGAGCAAGATTCTTACCGCTGTTGGAATCGATACATATATCGAATACTTCCCATCATTGTTAATATATTACCTTCATTAACTTTTTGTAGAATAATATGTTCCTCTTTCTCTGATTATATCGGACCTGGTTCCATACTTTCGGCCGGTAGTGAGGTCCAGAAACCTGCAAACATTAAAAGACTTCAGTTGACAGTAGTGTCATTTTACATATTTCAGATGCATCGTTATTGTACTTAAAAAAAAGAACGCCTTAGACCTTTTCTATCTTATAGATGTAAAACTACAAAGGTAGATCAACGAATAGAGATAGATGTATCTGGAGAACAATGTTGAGGATACATGCGTAATGCATCATCGTTTCGTAAACACGGGGTGAACGAAAGGGTACTTTCACCATCCCCCACGATCCTCGTAACGATCGATGGTCGCGGGCATGTAGCCACGCTGATTGATGGACGGATTCTTAACGGTGGAATGGATTTCATTCACAGACCAACCAGTTCCGAGAAGACGGCTAACGCTTGTATCGAGCGAACGGACTTCGATTTTTCTCGGTCGCGACGCCCACTGATTGTTCTGCATAGACGTATAGACGCTGTCATCTACCGTTATCGACGTGTCCGCCTTAAACACAGCTTTCACGGTATCTGCAGAACATACATAGACCAACCAATAATAATTATCGAAAAATAAATTCTGTTTGAAAACTTCATCACTGATCTGACCAGGGTTTGCATAAAAAGTTGGTCAAATTAATTGATTAAGTATCACAATACAGAAGGGACTTTACAAAACCCTGTTAAAATCGACGTCTGATAGTGGGGGTCTTTTCTTGCCTTGTCAGGTACCGTTCGTGACGTCTGTAGATTATTCGAATGAAATTCAGCCAATCTCCGGTCGACAGAACGACGGTAGTCTAAATTATTCCATAGCCCAATATTTCACCCCTTCCGCTCCTAAAGTCGTCTGTCGACCTCGCGATCGACATCGAAATTACCCCACAGCACATTTACGGAATGTCGCAAATCGTCCTAGCGTCTATCCATGCTCATTTATAAATAGCCATCGGCCTGTGTGTGATTAATTTCGATGTAAATCGTTTTTTCTGCCACCCTGTATAATAGTTCGCGAGTTTGCCGATGTCCACACGTTCGTTCAGGGTTAAGGTGAAGTATACATATATCGCTGTTGAGGCTGAAGTTGCAAAGGTTCGACCACTAAATATAGAGAGGATGCCCACGGGGTCAAATCAATAGGCATCCTGCGTGTTATGTACAGTGGTCTCTGAACTAGTGGAGAAACGGCTTGGAACTACAGTAAATCCTCGATGAGTGTTCGAAAAATTTCTAACATACTCCCTTCTTCTAAACACCCACTACGTTCTTCGTTGAAAGCGTGCACTGAACGTTCAATCCACTATCTACGTAACCCAATCCGCCTATTTCTGGCCTGAATCGGTCCTCCCTGAGTCACCTGCAATTATCAGGAAAATCGATGAGTAAAATATATTCATCAGAAAGACTTACCGGTAGCTCAACCCGGATACACAAGTGAATCCTCTTTGAAGGAGTTATACAACTTCCCCTCTGATTGTACACTGACGTGCAAACTCGGCTTCCGTTAGGAGAAAAATTGGCGTAAGAGAAAGGCCTTCTACCACTTGATAAATTTATTTCAAATACTGAAATGAACGTTAAATTGAATGTTAATATGGCATAAACTTCAGTAATTCCCGATACCAAGTGATAGGAGGTCTTTCCAGTACACAACTTTTGCCCCTAGCGGAAGCCGAGTTTGCTCATGCGTGTACATAATGACTCTCACGCAATTCACATCATCGAGTGTTCACACGCAAGGATCTAGCTAGCTTAATCTAGATCCCGTGTAAATTATTATTTTTTTTCCCATCGACAATGATCCGCAATGATATTAAGTCGTTTCGAGAATTCGAGTCAAGGGCATCGCGTGTGCATGCCAATCGGCTGACCGTGGACGATTTCGTCCAGTTCCAGGGATCGTAGACCAGCCCGATAAAGCGAGGGGACTACGGGCTTTAATCGACGGCCAGGGATCGGATGTGGTGGTGGTGGACGTGTAGTACAGTTGAAGGAAGGACAGCGGTTCCATCGAGGCCGACGGAGACGGTGGTAGCTGCTGCTGCTGCTGGTACCTACGACCTGGCATCTGGAGGAGAAGGGTGTTGGATGAACAGGGGTGATTGTCGGTGATGGACAATGAGCAGCCGCATCAGGAACTGGTCAAGTGCGTGGTCGTCGGCGACACAGCGGTCGGCAAGACCAGACTGATATGTGCCAGGGCCTGCAACAAGCACGTGTCACTCTCGCAACTGCTGACTACTCACGTGCCCACCGTATGGGCCATTGACCAGTACAGGATCTACAAGGACGTAAGTTGTGTTACACTTAGGAACTCTATCCTTGTGACTTACGGTTATTGGACTGCGGATGTTTATGCAAATATAAATCTTACGGATTAATTTTGTTGAAATTGAATACAATAAAAAATTGATTTACCCTGTTAGGGATTCTCGGATCTAGGTTCTTTATGAATGGAAAATTTGAATGAAACTTGTGAAACTTTTTGCTGTACTGAATGTTGATATTACTGATTATTCGTAAACATTATCACTGACAGAAAACACGTAATATTCTAGAAATGTATTATTTTTATTGGTGTAGAAACCTACGTTATAAGTAGTTATGATAGTCGAACGTAATGAGCAATTAGGACCGTAATTTTTATTGAATGCAAATGTACGATTTACCAGGTGTTGGAGCGATCTTGGGAGGTCGTCGACAATGTGAACGTCTCCCTGCGTCTGTGGGATACGTTCGGCGACCACGAGAAGGATCGTCGTTTCGCGTACGGCAGGTAATTGATCAATTCTGAATCGTCGACGATAATGGTGGCGATACGGTAGACATGTATATCGTGGATAAAATATCGATATTATTGGTATCGGTACTTGCAATTAAATTAGACGTAATGATATCGAAAAATGAAAATAAATAATTTATTTAAGTAGAAATATTTCACCTTATCGCAGATCGGACGTGGTGCTGCTATGCTTTTCGATCACAAACCCGGTTTCCTTACGGAACTGCAAGGCGATGTGGTACCCGGAAATACGGAGGTTCTGCCCCCAGACACCAGTCCTGTTGGTGGGGTGCAAGAACGACTTGCGGTACATGTACCGAGATGAAACATATCTGAGCTACTTCCGCGACCGTAGTCCGTTCGTAAGGTAAGCTGTGCATCTGGAAACATGCAAAGAAAAATATTTTAAGTCATCCGTGTTTGCTCAACGTTGATTAATTCGGTGGAGGCCACAACTTTCTTCCCCTACCCTCGGATCAGTGTTTCCCACCAAGGTGCAATTGAATATTTTGGGGCGAAATTAACAAATCATTTTTAGCAACAGTTTTACCTATGTGCCTACTGTATTTGAACTAGCTATTAATGTTCAACTTTTTCAAACCTTGGTCTATTATTCTGCTAGGGTGAGTATCGTGATCTTTGAGGCACTGAAATGGGGCAGGATCCAAAAAAGGTTAAGTTAAACACTGCCTTAGATTGTACAGCCCTAGGAATCGTCTTTCCCTTTATCCATAGATTCTGATAATCACCTGTTTATTCGATACGGATGTAAGACATGGTCTCTAGCCCCATCAAGCGCACGTAACACCCGAGTTCCATTTAGGTAACAACGACGAAATTGGATTAACCGAGCCTTGGCATACGAAGGCTGGCTCCCCAGGGGTATTCCTCAAAGTTCATCGTGACTTTCAGACCCTCTCCCGAGATTATTCCAGTTATTCTCGATATAGAATGACATATTTCCATCGGTGTCACAACCTTCTTGTTCCCAATTCTAAACAGGGCCACAAGGAAGAGCGACCTGGTGATGCCTGATCAGGCTCGAGCCGTGGCCAGGGAGCTTGGAGTGTGTTACTACGAGACCAGCGTCTTCACGTATTACGGTGTCAATGAAGTTTTCGAGAATTCGATACGGGCCGCGCTGATCGCACGTCGTCAGCAACGGTTCTGGATGACGAACCTGAAGAGGGTGCAGAGACCTCTGCTTCAGGTGAACGAATTACCATTCTACAAGACGAAGACTTCTTTAAGTTACTTCCTGAACATTATAGCCCCAGCATAAAAACTTTGATAACTATAGTTCTGATTGTTCTTTACAGGCTCCCTTTTGCCCTCCAAAGCCAGTACCGCCAGAAGTATGCCTGGCGGGGAGCACCTACGAGGAGAACATGAGAACACTATGGACGAAGCCGGTTCATACGGACGTGACCTTGATCGCTGGGAACTGCACGTTCGCGGCCCATCGGTGTCTCCTAGCTGCGGCGTCGCCGGCGTTTCATCGACTCTTTACCATGGAACTGATCCAGGAGCAGACACCAAGGAGTTCCAGTGAATCTAGCATGGTATAACTCAACGTGTCCAGTACCTCCATACGGTCTTCTTTCCACAATACACTTTTTCTATTTTGGTTAAGGTGAGCACGTTCGGCGAGGCGACCGTCGGCGATTTCAACGACGACACCGAGTGTCTGATTCGTATCGATCAGTCAAAACCCTCAAAGTGAGTTTATCCCGCAAATCTGTTAAGCGTTCCAAGCTAGAACCGTAGGTAGTCTGGCCATCGATACCACACAACGATGTTATGAAATAATCTGCTGCGTTTTAATCTTTGATCGAATTTAACCAAAATTGTGGTTGTCTTCTGTAGAGTCTGGGAGCAGCTGAAGCGGCGATCAAGCTTTCAAGTACTGCCCACGATGGATAATCAGAGGAAGGCGGCTGGAGCGACGAGGGAGCTGAACCATCCAGCCTTTCAGAACATCCGTGTATGTCTGGTGAGGATTCTTGTTGTCTATGGAAAAAAAGAATAAATTAGTTTGGATGTCTATGGCCAGTTTCCATTGGTTCGCAGACCGAAAGCACGAACGGAATGCAGCAACCAACGACTGTGGTGACGCTGTCGAAGCTGATCACCCCGCAGGCTATGCAACAGTGTCTGCAGTTCATTTACACGGGCAGCATGGATAAACGGTATCACGATCTGCAGGTACGTTGCGTCGGTATCGTATTATCGTTTATAATTTCACCGATGAAAGTCGTGGTGGTACGTTTCATTAGCCACAGAAGTATACAGTGTATAAGTTTCATCCTCCATAGATGTTCCTTGCTTAGCCTCTATGTCTTTAACAATGACGACGTCCACGGTACATGACAATTAACGCGGCTCTATTCTTTCAGACAGCTCCTATCGGGCTTCTACTGGTTAGTACAATGTGAAATACGTTCGCTGATATGCCAGCACACATAACGCACACGCACGTAGTAGTGTCACATAGCGTCAGGGTATCGATTTCAGAGAAAGAGAGCGAGTCAGCTAGGTCGTCGCCTATATAGTCATCTTCAATCCCGGCATGTTCTTATTGGTTCCTTGTGTTTTCTTAGAACAGTGACATAAGACCGTACGGTGATCACGGGATGCATGGAAACGCTTCCAGTCCTTTCGACGACCACAAAAAAAAAGAAACCGTCTCCACCTGGGTGTCCCCGAGTTTAGAAAGGACCTCCATATCCGATCACCCCCCATGATCATATTCTGTATTGTTGAAAGCATCTTAATTGATTGTATCGTTCTCCATTTTATCACAGGAAATCAGGCAGGCAGCCGAATTCCTAGAGCTTCCTCAACTGCTGATGGTGCTGGGGACGTTGCATACTAGAGATCAGTTCAATAACGATCTGAACGACAGGTACAAGCAAGTGGTGAGGCAACGACTGGAGGATATTTGTCTGGATCAAGGTAGACTTCGTTCGTCGTATTCAGTTCTGGCAATATAATCCAGAATAACTGTTTCGGTGGTTAACTGATCTTGAAACTCGATTATCTCAGGACTGTTTGCTGACGTGGTGTTTGACTTGGACGATGGAAGCGTACCGGCACACAAAGCGATTCTCACTGCCCGATGTGACGTAATGAAAGCCATGTTCTCCGGTGATTTTCGCGAAAGTAGCGCGAAAGTAGTGAGTACGCTGCTTTGACCGATAGACTACATTTTGTTTTTGCCTATGAACTTCCATGATATTATTAAAAATACAGATAGTGTTCCCTGGAGTACGCGAGTACACGTTCCACAAGTTGCTCTGCTACCTGTACACCGACGAGGTGCCGGCAATTTCCTCCGCCAGATGCTTGAACCTTCTAGAACTGGCCAATCGCCTGTGTCTACAGCGATTGGTGAACCTAGTCGAGAGCCGAGTGATCGAGGATCTCGAGAGGTTGTCCCAGAACGACGGGAACGAAGCGGTGGAGAACTGTCTGAGGCTGCTGGAACCTTGCAAGGTCAGCTCTTTCATCCCTGATCTGTGGAGATAGCGATTAATTGGGAACACCTGGTGTACAATCCGACGATTCCTCGGTTACAGTTACATAATGCTGATCAGCTGGCGGACTGGTGCATGAATCACTTGTGCGTTAACTACAACAAGTTGTGCAAGATGTCCCCCAGGAGTGTACGTCTTCTTCATCCGGAGAACCAGGAGTACCTGAACGAGCATCGATGGCCTCCAGTGTGGTGGGTAGACAGAAATGAATTGTCGATGAGGGGTACTCGAATACAAGCAATCCACGTAAGTCGAAGATGAAGCGGCAAATATTTTCTGTCTATCAGGTACCTGAAGGACTACGACTACTACCAGAAATGCTTGGCAGAACGTGATCGCGAGAACAAGCCCACGCTAAAGAGGAATCGCAATCAGTCCGGTTGCCTGTGCTTCTCCAGCTCCATAAAGACGAGAAGAGAGAGTTCCGGAAACGGCGGTACAGCGTCATCGGCATCGAACGATCCGCAGGCGGAACGTCCTCTGTTCGACTCGTCTATAGAATCCGGTGAACAGGTTGTATGACAACAGCCCAGCGGCACAAGCCGCTCCGTCAGATTCATTCTGATCCTACCCGTGCTCATGGTCTTCATATGCACCATTTTTACTATTTTGATACTGCTACAGATTTATACTTAAGGACTGTGTTTCAAACGCCGACGAGACGAGATCTATTGCACACGATACTACTACCCCTCCCTGTTAACCAGAGGTCTTCTCTGTTCCCCTGAAACACACAAGAGGGGCCTCTCTATCAATATTTGTCGCACGTGTCCAGATATCCTTAGGCTGGCGCGCACTTCTTTACCTCGAACAAGTGTAGGTTTTCTAAAAGTGAAACGGATCTATAAGAACCGTTCCGTGTGAAAAATTGGTGTATTTTTTGTACATGGAGATCCTCCCCGTCGGGTGTACTCATTCATCCGACTTTCTGCTGTCGTTGGAAAGACACACACACACACACACACACGGTCTGTGTCTATTTCAACGGGACTTCTCACGGGCGTCCATCCGTTTCTAAATAAAAACAAGTTGGTGCCTTTTGTTGACGACAAGTCTTCGCCATTAAAGCGACTCCTAAGTGTTGTTGGGGTCACCTGAAAAAAATGTTTCATTTTCCCTCGATCAGTTGAGAATCGTTGCTTGACAGAGATACAAGTCTCGCGAGTACCTTGCAATTAATCGACTTCAATCTCGCACGAGCAGAATTTTGTATACGTGATCCACTTTGGTAGCTTGGTCCTCGAGGCTTTTCTGGCCAGGGTTCTTGCGATTAATAATGTTCATCAATCCCTGTCCTTTCCGGGAAGGTTTTTAATACTTTGAAGTGTATATCTGTAAGGTTATTTCCACGGAGGACGCTGATTCACCTGCGTGCATGTATGTCGGATTGCCTGTCCAGAGTTTATACAGGGGTCAGTATGGGAAACATCATGGCGGAAAGAGTCGAGCATTATTAACCATTTTGGCAAATATAGATGTTACCAGTTCCTTCTTTCCGCTGTTTTGAATTAATTTCACGAAAATAAAACACAAGGAGGAACGGTAGAAGAAAAGTGTTTCGATTCGGGACGTCCGATCGGAGTAAACGATTATCACCAGACGATAAAAACCGCCGTACTTTTATCGATGCGTATTAGACTGACGAAAATCGAGCAATAGCTTTAGTCCATAGTAGCGCGTAAACATTACGCTGTAAATGATACTAAACAGTACGTATAGTCGTGTAAGGAAAAATATCCAGACGTTGCAACGTTTTTACATCATTTGCAGTGCAAATTTTGCACAGAGCATTCGACGACGACGGGCCCTGCTTCAACCGTTGAGTTTCATCCTTCCACGAGCGAGGTTACAATTGCTTCGAGTGCAAGGAAATATCTCGTATTTTTACCATTTTCTAATGATCTACAGTTACGCGGAATTATTGTCGATTATCATTAAGTGGACGGGGGGGGCCGCGTGCAGTTCAATCAACCACAAACGAGGTGTACGACCATTAGAGAACTTACTTGTGTCCTCCTTATATATTTTCTTTTCATCTTCATTTTTTTCCACCGAGTAGTGCCAAAACGTTCTGCTTACTCGTTAAAAGTGACTGTTCTTTCTTTCGTCAGAAGTTTGTGGACCACAATTTGAGAAACACTGCTCTGGAACACCCTGGATTGTATAACACAAAGATACGTTGGACGTCGAGTCTATTCGATACTTCGTTTGTGTAGTAAGGGCTCTGGGATTGTCTGATAACTGTAACATATCGATCACGGTAATGGGTTACTGCTAGAATTATGAATCGTGAATCTTGTAATCATAATTGTGTACCTAGGTTATAGGAGCGAAAGAAAGATTGAGCGTGAGAGAAATGATTTTGTTTGTAAATGAGTTTACTAACGCGTTCATAGGGTGTAAAACGATGCTTTATCAAGCGTACCTTCTTGTAAGAACAAAGGTACATATAACTTTTTAAATATACTGGCGAATTGTACTTTGTAAGTGCACAAATTCTTTCTCGCAACTCAGAAGAAGCGTAACCTCGCGTTTATACATAAAGGGCCGGTCGTGATGATGTCCTCGGTCGATCATAAAACTATCTGTAACGTTAACGATCGGTATGAAAGGTGTTTAATAATTTGATACTTGTTAGTTCATTCCTTCGCCGCAGCCATCGCCGTGTTGATCAGTCGTTACATTCATTGTCTGTCGTGTAATGGAAGTGTGCTTGTGAGAAAGGGAGAATGAGAGTCAAGGTAAGGGAACATAGGTCCCCTTTAATTGGTGATGGGATTCAAGACGACTTGGATCGTCTTGAATTGAAAACCTGAAACATAGGAGGTGTTAGCACGTTTTGCAGCGGTCTTGTGCTTGATAATCCTGAACGATTTTCCAAATTTTATCAAGTCTTGAAAGACAAGACTTCCAATCCAATTTCGACCTCAAAGTACCGTATTTTTGATTTGTTTGGAACATTTTCAAAACAGTGTCTTCTTGAAGTCCCATCACTTCTTTTAATGTAACACGCGGAGCCACATATAAACGACACGTGTAACTGTTATGCTGCCATAACTAATTTTACACTGTATAGCCTGTGTATACGACACACACACACACGAGTAGTGATGGGTACGTTTTCAAGTGTTCGAACAGATTCGATCATTCAAAACTTGAAAAATTGTTTCTTCGTTTAATTCAATTGATTTCAACTGTTATTTAGAACCCATCGCTACAATGATGAATGAAAAAAACACATACTGTTGTAAGATGCGCTACTGCCTGAAATTCTCCAACGGAAACGACGTATGCAGAATGTGTCTGTTTCGGCGAGGGTGAGAATAACGTCCCACTTGTACGCTTCGTCAATTTCGATGTCAATGTTGTCCTTCGTCGCTCGTAAATGTATATTTTATACTGACATTGGTAACTGTAGGATTAAGGGTTCGAAGACAGACATAGAGCGATAGAGGATCGAAGATATATCGATTTTGCGCGTATTTTAGGCGCAATTACAGCAGACATTTTGCTGAATATTTTGTCCTTGTGAAAAGAGGCATTTGCGGGCGACAGAATTCCCCTCTTCGGTGTGTATAAAATATCGTACGTCGAAGGATAAAATGTGTCCCTGATACAATTTTACAAAATAAGAACCTGACCGCCTCCTCGAAGTACTTCGGTGCGTTTTCTTTTTTTTTTTTTTTCGAATTTTTTCATTATTCCCGCGCTCGCAAGGCCTCCAATCCTAACTGGTTGCGACTACGACATCTGTTTTGGAATGGTGCAAACTGATCGATTTATAGAAAGTACTTGCGATTTGTTGTCAGTTCGGTCGGTAACAAATAACTCGATAACGTATTGTTAAAAAATTAAGCTAACCTATCGTTTAAGAGATAATGAAATTGTCAAAGCATTTCATATTCCGTACCGACGAGTAAAATATTCCACTACAAAGAAAAGGAGATATTCGTGGTACAGTTCAGATTTGATAACTATTTGGACACATTTGAACGGTCATGCAGTTAACGCACTGTCATTGGACTCAAATTAAGAACCGCGGGTGAAATTTCTATTTCACGCATTCAATTCTTCCGTTGCTTAGATTATAGTCAACAAATACGGACAAGCTGTTTAAATCATTTCAACACACAATTTCCATTTCGAATAACACTTTCTCTTCGTTGAACGAGTCGCCATTTTCAAAATATCTCATGGATGGTGAACAATTGATACAATTGGTATTACAAAAACTTAATAATAACGTTAAATTTTATAATTGACTTAACGATCACGTTTGATAATCTATTCAATATCATATGGAATGAAATTAAAGGAAAGCACAGCGATTGTTCGGGAGTCTCGACTAACAATCCAAAACGATTTTCGGAGATCTAGAAGACCGTTAATCGAGATGAAATAAGGAATCTATTTTAAATTTAATTTTACCCGCATAAAATAGAAGCAAAGCTGTATATACGTACGTATGCATGTCGCTTCGAGAAATATGATTTTTACCTTAAGCTACATTTTAATATTCTATTTTCAAATGCACAGGCGATAAATAAAACTAATTTTTAATTAAACTTCACACGTATAAGTACCGTTCTCATTTTTTAAATTTATAATAGAAATATTTCCAAGACACTTTATTTATTGTTTGAAGAGAAAGGGTCATAACTAATTCTGAGTTTTATTTTTTTTATATATGTTTGTATTTTTAAAAGGAATGGTATAAAAAAATGTATCACTTCAGGGAATTTATGATCCGATGTTTGATAATACTTGTTGCTAAAAATGCTCACAAAATATGTGTTTTACAATACATCCATCTTTTCTATTTACAAACTGGTCAACGGTATATGAGATTGAATACAAAATTACAGTGGTGTTGATAATGTCTTCATTGCAGATTTGATTTCATCGTAAAGGTCTTTGTAATCTGCATGCTCCTTAATCAGTACCATAAGGCTCCCTCTTTTCACTCCCATTGCATTGCCGATATCTTGCCTTGATGGAGTATAACAATAAGGAATATTCTTATCCTCACAAACAATTGGTAAGTGGCACATAATTTCTATGGGAAACACATCCCCCGCAAATACAACCAACCTACGAGTTAAAATATTTCATATATAGTTAATAAAATGTACTTTTCATTTTAAGTAAACATATAGATTACCCATGTTCTCCTTTACGGAGGTGCTTCTGTACATCCTTCAAGCCATTTCGAAGATATGTTTTCTGCTTAGAAGCTGAAATGGTTATGTTACAAATTACGCACACCATGAACAAGTTAGTAATGCTTCAATTATACTAAAAGTAACTTTTAAGTAATATTTAAATTTTAATATTACATACCTTTCTTTATACATTTATAAATCTTTTTTGTTAGCTTCTTTGGAGCCATGGGTTTACTAATGTTATTTACGTATTTTAATTTTTCTTCATAACTAAGTCCTGTACCATCTGTACCATCGGTTTCCTTCATACTATCATCGACGTCCATTCTAACTATCGTTTCTTCCATCTTTCAGAATAATAACAGTTATTACAACTAAAAATTCCCAATCAAACTTCTTTGTTTCGTCCACGTGCTATCATTTACAGTTCCACCCACTTCAGCTACACAACAATCAAAAAATGAGGACAGTATCTTACAGAAAAATTATGCAAATTTCGACTGACTACTCTTTCTAAAAGTAGTAGATTATTTATGGACCTCCAGTGAATCAATGTTATTTAATATTTGCGATTTTATTAATGATTAATTGTTTAATAAATGATTAAAGCCACGATTGAATAAATATATATGTGACGCCATCTACGGCAAAAGTCTCAAGCTACTAGTTAATTAATATTTCATGTTGCCACTAGATGGAACCCATGTCTTTTCTATCATTTCGTTGTGCATTAAAATACTAAATATTGATTCAAAAGTATGACTGTACTTTATTTTCTTGTACTGTAGATTTGCAGTTTGCTGACTGTAAATTATTATACGTAATAATGTTTAATTATTGTTTAATTTGTTACATAGAAACGCTGATTTATTTTCAGAGCATTACTGTGAACTGTACTGTCAAAAACTCAGATTTGAGCAGATCTGAGCATGCGCGAGTCTTGTTGTGTCGTTTCCGCTTGCGTCCTTCTTCCTTTGCGACCAGGTAAGGCGTACGAGCTGCCTGGTTAGTTTATGTCTGATGCGTGAAAAGTTATAAAAGGAACGCGAGATGGTAAGAAACTTTGCACTTCATTCAGAATTTAGTACGTTCTACCTACTAATATTATATATCTCGTTAATCCGCTCCACGGTTCCCAAGAATTTTACTCTAAACGCAGAATCCTAGTGTCTACCGCATTGTTGACCACGTGTAACAATTTATAGTATGTAAACTGATTTATCTCGATCCTAGTACATATTCGAGTACAACTTACAAGTTCGCGTATTTTTGTCTTCTTTTTGCTATTCCATTCAATTGAGTTGTTGTTACATGTAACGAAAGATTCATATTAGATACAGCCATTCCGATTTTTCTGTCCGCCATGTGCCGTGTCAGTGAGACTCATATATAACAGGAAACTTTAACTCCTGGCTTCCCCAATTCTCTTTTACACTTCTATAATTCATGAAAAACGTCGATATTTTACAGTTATTTCTTATTTTCACAGTCGTTATCAACGGCGCGACCGCTTGTGACGGTATACAGCGATAAAAATGAAGCTTCCGGAGAAACGATATCCCTGCCGGCCGTGTTCAAAGCACCAATTCGACCAGATGTTGTGAACTTTGTTCATCAACAAATTTCAAAGAATAGCAGACAGCCGTATTGCGTATCCAAGGAAGCTGGTGAGTGTTTTGGAGGATTAGGATAGTATAGCAAGTAATGGGTCTATGAAGATATTTAATATACCCATCACTAGTTATAGCTGAAACTTATGCAGTTTGATCTGTTCTATGTTTCCTTCTTTGATTTGTTAAAGGAACTAATTTCAGCATTATTAAATATAGGTTTGTTTTCTTAGGTCATCAAACCTCTGCAGAATCATGGGGTACTGGACGTGCTGTGGCACGTATCCCCCGTGTTCGTGGTGGTGGTACTCATCGTTCTGGTCAGGGTGCCTTTGGTAATATGTGTAGAGGAGGACGCATGTTTGCCCCGACGAAGCCCTGGAGACGTTGGCACCGTAAAATCAATGTGAACCAGAAGAGATACGCCTTAGTTTCTGCTATTGCTGCCACTGGTGTCCCAGCTCTTGTAATGTCCAAGGGTGAGTGATAAATTGATGGTATTAATTGAATGTATGACAATCTTACTTTCATGATGACTTGCTTCTTGGTCTGTGTTGCTGATTTGTCACTGATTATACTTATAGCGTTCTACTGAATATCTAAATTATTTATTTACACGTGTTCTGCTTAACTCGGACAGCGGTTAACGCAATTTTTTACGTTCAGGTCACATGATTCAAGAAGTTCCAGAATTTCCCTTGGTAGTGTCTGACAAAATCGAGGAATACAACAAAACGAAGCAGGCTGTTATCTTCTTGAGACGCATAAAGGCGTGGAATGATATCCAAAAGGTAGGTGTACTTTTAAATGACCATGTTGTGTATGCACTGTAGAATGTCCGCATCTTTATTAAAATACAATTAATTCAGATGCTCCAATCAGGTGCTAGATAAATCCGGTTGTCAGGCGTTCTAAACTAGCTAATTCGTTCGCTAGAATGGGGAATTGATAGCCAAACACTTCAATTAGTCACGGTAAATGTTTTTTGTACGGATTTACGAGACATCAAATTTTATTTTGCTTACAGGTATACAAATCCCAACGTTTCCGTGCTGGTAAGGGTAAAATGCGTAATCGCAGACGTATTCAACGTCGTGGACCGTTGATTGTGTACGGCGAGGACAAGGTATGGAAATAATTGAAGCACACTTTATCATTCCTGTTCAATTCTCTAATCATCTGTTTTGTTATCAGGGTATTCGCAAGGCGTTCCGTAACATTCCCGGTGTTGACCTTATGAACATTAATAAAGTGAACCTTCTGAAACTGGCACCCGGTGGCCATGTTGGACGGTTCGTTATCTGGACAAAATCCGCGTTCGATAAGCTGGATGCTCTTTACGGAACCTGGCGCAAAGAGTCGAAACTTAAAGCTGGTTACAACCTGCCATTCCCTAAAATGGCAAATACAGACTTGTCGAGACTTCTGAAATCCGATGAAATTCGCAAAGTCCTCAGAGCACCAAGGTATGTATCTTTCTATGTTCTATACATCTCAAACGATGTGTGTGTGCCATTCATGATGAAACCTTTTGGTCCGTGTTACTGATTGACAGTGATAAATATGTTCCATAACTGATGCAACCTTTTATCGCGTTCTTATTCCTACTCTCTTATTTATGAAATATATACTAACGATAAACCTTTTCAATTACAGGAAGAGGGTGCTGCGCAGTGTCAAGAAATTGAACCCCCTGACCAACACTCGTGCTATGTTGCGTCTGAACCCGTATGCCGCTGTGCTGAAACGCGCGGCAATTCTGACTGCAAGGAAACGTCAAATGGAGAGAGAACTTCTTGTGGCCGAAAAGCGTGGAGTGAGTATACTATCCGATGTTTCGCACTGTTAGTTTCATCTTTCGATGCAGTTACATTGATACAAAACCTTTCTGCGCACAGATCACGCTACCAAAGAGCCACCCGGCCATGAAGTCCAAGCTTCTGCAGGAGAGACGCAGGAAACAGATCTTGGCCGCCAAAGCCGCGAAAAAGGCTAAACTCGCCGATGGTGGTGGTAAACCCGCAGAGGCTAAGCCTGCCGAGGCTAAACCCGCCGAAGCGACAAAAACAGAAAAACCTGCGAAGCCTGCCAAGAAGTAAAAACTTTTTAACAACGCGTTGTTGACCCAGGATCTTTATTTGTTTTAAATAAAAAATATGGGAAGAGACAACTATAGGACAACGGCTTTGTAATTGTTCTCCACAGCACCTTCGACGAGGATTTCCTGTGAAGTTGATTGTAACCAAAAATACTTGTACATTGTTACGCGTGTCTTTTCCTGAGCGGAGCGCGCACGAAGATCGTGTCATTGAAGACCTCCACCGACACTTTCTTTGCGTTCGCTTCCCGTGGCATCTGAAAGTTAAAGTTCCTAACGGGCGACCAGTCGTCGGAGCTGTGCAATTTTATGTTCAATGTATTCTCATTGGCTAGATTAGCTGTACCTACTTTCAATCCCTCGATCTTCATTTCCGCCTGTAAGTAGGTAAAAAAAATGGTCCAAAATTACGAACTGTCTCACGAAGGTGAAATAATTGTAATCAACAGGGAACACGTACAGCATAGCATTCTTTATTATCAACGATGTAAAAGTTCGGCGGCTTGCAGAACTTCAGGCTAGTCTTAACCCCGTTCGACATCGTGTCGAAGTTCATGTACTCGTTCTGCTTTAAGGTAGTCGCGTTCTCGCGACAGTGGTGTGGCAAATTGTCCATAATAATCTGTTCGAATTTACAAGTTTAAACGAATCCGTTAGAAATCCTAAAAGGGTCAACCGAATACTCGGATCTTGACAGCCAGACCGATCATCTTTTGTTCACGTGTCGACACACCGCAACCTTCAGTATAGAGTCGAAATGTTCAGGCGATTAATTTTTTCCTAACTTTGCTCGGTTTCATCGTGGGTGCCGTGAGAATGAGCATTCGGTGCTTGTTGTCCACGACAGCCCTGACCTTCTCGCCGTCTATGTCATCCGGTATGAGCAAGTTCTCGCAGTGTTTCATCGTCCGTTTAACCAAATCGCCGAGCACCGATTTCTCGGTGATCTCCGGCAACTGACTGGCGAGTTGCTCGTTCAGGGGTTTGCACACGTTCACGCGGAGGTTGTTACCCTTCACGGTGATCTTGATAGAGGACATGTCGGCCTCTGGCGCGAGCAACATTCTTGCCTATAATAAGGAAACAGAAAATCGTGACGACGTTATGTTTTACAGTGGACTCTTGATCTATTGCCAGGGCTATAGCAGGCTGTAGTAGATTAAAAATCACATATCGAAAGTACAACCACGAGCAAACTTGGCTTCCACTAGGGGAAAAAATAACGTAGGGAATTTAGCATTCATTTCGCTACCTGGAATAAATTTACTAAGTGATAGAAGACTTTTCTTCGACACCGCTTTTTTCCTTAGCGGAAGCCGAGTTTGCACGCGGGGGAAGTGCCTTGCACGGCCATATAGCAAACTGCAATGCATCAAGAGTCCACTGTATTTTACTTATCGAGTAATTGTCGAGCCGTTATTCCCGGTGAACCTCGTAAACACTGTCCGGTCGAATTCCAATGGAAACGATCTGCATCACGTAGCCGGTTTCCGGGGGTTTCACGGGTACTTTCACGGACTCTGGTCTGCCGTTCGTCACCAACGGGCCAGATTTCTTCAGAAACTTTGAAGAGCTCGAACACTTTGGACAATGACCAGTGTCCACCACCACGTCCCCTTCGCACTTCATACACTGACTCGTCTTTGCGTCCATTTTTCAGGTTTCGCGACGAACGGTGTCATTGCAACGGCGTGTACATCCTATCGCGAGGTAAACTTCCCGTGTAAGATCCTGTGGTGCGTGTGTGAAGGCTCACGAGGACAGATTTTTTAGAATATTTTAAACAGGTAAAATTATTTGGTTGGATGGCGATGACAAGGGTCACTTGTCAATTTGGAAATTCCGCCGGGGCTGACAGGTGAACGTCAATAGCGAAACAGCAGAAAGCTGAAAAGGTTCGAAATACTCTCTCTTCCAATCCTTTCAATTTTCCCATTAATTCATTCCTTTAAGTGTGTATTATTCTTTTTTTCAACTGTATCACCAGGTAACCCAATCGGCCTGCATCAGTTCAAGCAGATATAAACCATAAAAGAAGAAAAGTATCCCCTCCTGAATTCCCGTGAACACAGAAACGGTAATTTCTTTTCATTCCCATTCCAAAATGAAACCAACTAAACTGGAAATGTGATTCATGCAAAAAAAAATATATAATTTTCAGTGATTCGGAAAATGGAGTTGCGGCTGTTTCGTGGGTAATTTTGTTAAATACAGTTCGATTGGCAGAAAATTGAATGAACATATCAGATGTATCGAAGAAGGACCGTTTTCGAACGACACGTTGGTAGTTTTGTTTAACATTCGTGGTATGCATTGTTCGAAACGCCTGCGCGAATTTCCTTGGGAATGGACGGCCGCGTTGGGGTAGGGGTAGCGCGGGATTCAGGGTCGAAATTGCACGGTGGTTGAAAAGCATCGGAGGGACCACAGTCGAGGACAGGCGGTCCCGCGTTTAAGTGGTCCATCAATTCCATGTCGCCTTTGGCCCTGTTCCTTCATTACGGAGTTTTGGCCATCACTTTCGGTACCGGTGAGTCTTCACAACTTTCGAGTTTTTTTTTACAAGCGTTCACGTGTATATTTATAAATGTTGCATTACTTTCAATTTCATTTTACAAAATATTTTCCATACGTGCGAATATTGAGGTAGTAAGGAGTGGAGTTTGAAGTGTCCTTTGGTAATTTAATATCGCCGATATATTTGTGTGTTTATTTGACGTGCAGTATTACTACATTTATTTACAATATCTTATATACCTACATTTTTTCTTATCACAGCCTTATCTTCCTAGTGTCAATTAAAATTCAACTTAAACTTTATATATCTATTTCTTAATATCCATTTCTTTAGGTGGTGTACAAGTATTTTAATTATTTACACCAGTGTACTTTACAATTGTGTCTTTATTGCATTGAAAGTTGTTATTTGTTGCATGTGACTGTTATTTTAACAAGAGTTGTCAGCGACAAACGCGTGGTACTATTCGATCTTCGATTGATCACGAAGGATGATTCATTTAATTTCGACGCATAAACAGAGATCGAATAAATCCCGTCGAGGAAAACGCTGATTAAGGACGCCCCGGCGACGATTAAGGCCAATTTCTTCTGTCTGTTCGGTAACCGGATTGCTCGGCCTCCGACAGGATTTCCGCGCGGCAGGAATTTCATGAGCGGGCCGATTGAGTTGTAAATGAGTTTCTCCCTTCGAAAAATTTCCCGCCTGCGGTTCAGTAGCGGCCAAAAAGACCACAACGCGGTGCGGATTCGATTTTACCTGGCGACACTGGTATTTATCCATTCGATTCGACTACGTTCTTTTGGTACCTTTGAACTCTATAACAATATTGTTCCATCGTTTAAATGAGCTTCAAACGACCTCCTAACTTCCGTGAATATTTTTAATAGGTGAACGTTTAATCTCTGAAGTAGCAGTTCAAAGTATGTTAAGAGGATAGGTGTTTTCGTACTTTCCGACACTGGTATATATCTATTTAATTTGACTGCGTGCTTCTGGTACCTTTGAAATTTTTACAACAATATTGTTACATTGTCCAAATGAGCCTTAAACAACCGTGAATATTTTAAATAGGTGAAATTTTTGCCCCAAAAGTATCAACCCAAAGTACATGAAGAGGGTGGACGCTTTCGAACGTAAATATTGACACACGGAGTTAACTTTCCAAGCGAAAATTCGGATAAGGGGAGCAAAGTGTTGTTCTGTACACATGTTCCCTGAACAAAACAGAGCATCACGAAGGTATAGAAGACGTAATCGCAGAAAATTGTTCAAAGCCCCGAGGCGGTCTACGCTTGTATGCTCACCCAGAAGCTGCGTCCGATAATCTTTAGATCTTTAATAAACGTCAAGAGAGAGGAGTTCGTTATCGAACGTTTGCTTTGGCCTTCCGTGTAAACGTTTGCAGACGTTCTCGCGGCGTGGGGAAGTCGTTTCCCATCCCCTTAGCGGTTAATTCGCGATCTGAACATCGTCGTCGATTTGCATACTCGCTCTCAGAAATTCCCGAAGTCCACTGAGCAAATCGATTTGTTTGTTTACGCCTCGCCACGGTGAAATTATTAGTTAAAGGGGGCGAGGAATTACCACAAGATTCTCGAGCTTGGTCGAACCAGGGGGAGGGGTTAGTTTAAAACTTCCAACGGAGAAATCCCTTAACTGCTGTCGCTAATAGAGGGCTTGGGTGATTCCCAGGCGACGAAACTTTTGGAAGGTTTTTCTTTTCATTAATCTACAGTGCTTCACGTGTTCATATACTTTCCAAATTGCAATCAAGTGTACAAATTTTTCTGCAATTTCTACTCATGTATCCACGTGATTTTTAATTTTATAGTTACAGTTTACCGTGGTTTCGTGATCAATTTTTTTAAATTTCAAAATAAGATATAGCTAGTTTGGTATCGTGGTCTAGTGGAATAAATGTGACAACCTTTCGTGAACCTTTCGTGCCTCCGTTTACCGCAAAGATTCCGACATTTTCGTCCAAGGTAAGATCAAAGAGTCGTTCCCCCAAATCTCAATCGTTTCCGGTTTGTCTTCCCGGTTTTCTTCATCAACCTCTCGTCTAAAACGTATTTTCTCCTCCAGCGACGAACCACGCATGCTTGAAGAAACAATGCTGCGATAAAGGTGGCCCGCAAAAACTCTTTCGGGCGATGGGATCCATGACTGGTCCCGCTAAAAGCAAGGAAGAAGAAATACCAATGGGGTTATACATATATGGAGAGACGCGAGAACCATTACCGTTCCCAGGATTTTCGTCGTCGGCGTTTCGACGCACAGTACTCGTTACAAATCCGAGGGATCCTTCGATTTAACCGCGGTACCAGACTCCATTTCGCGGTCGGTGAAGGCTTTACCAGAAAGAGAGAGAGGATGAAAGAGCGTCTGTCGGGTTTAGGTCGCAAGAACGAACAGCCGTTGTGACGTATTTCGTCGTGTGTATATCACTCGGCCCATCGATCGCATCGATGACCGATTCCATCGAGTCTTTCGACGCTGCATCCTGAATGCACACCCGAAATTCAGGGACACCCCAGGGCCAGGGTCTGTTGTCGAACTCTCGTGGCTACAGTGATTGCAGATGTTTATGCAAATTTATAGTTTTAGACTCTATACAAATACAAGTTATGTAGAATTTTATTCCTTGCACTATAGAAGCTTCGATGTGTTAACCCTCGAATGGTAAGGTGGGGTCGGATTTTTATTGGAATATAAATGTCAGAAAATTTATTAATTTATAGATCTTCAAAAGTTTCTCATGTTTATCGATCCGATAGATAAAAGTATACCGTCGGTAGTTCTAGTATTTATCACCTCCGCTTTTAATAATTCTTCTATCTCGTATTCGTTATCGAACTCTCGTTTATTCATTCGCGACATTTATATCCAGTGCCTTCATTACAATTCTGGGGTAAGCACCACGGCGCCGCCACAATCCACCGTGAAAACCCCAGACTATACTTCCTTTTCACGGAGTTTCCGCGGTATACTCGGAAGAAACTATTCTGAGATGGGTTTATAGATTCTTAGATTCTGTAAAAGTTTGATTGTATAGTATTATAAATTTTAGATTATGCTGGGCGATACAAAAAAAGGGTTCATAACTTCTAGAGTAAATAGTACTCGGAAAATAACGAAAGAAAGTCCTGATAAAAATGGATGAAAAAAGTAATATTTTCCAAATTATGAAACAACGAAGGAAACTGCAACAAAACTGATAAAAATTGTAGAAGAGGTAATTTATATTACCATTAGCTTTAACCAAAACAAAAAATTGTTTATAACTTCGAAAATATTAATTTTTCGACCCATGATTATCAGGACTTCATTTGTCCAGTACTATCTACCCCAGAAATGATGAATACTTTTTTACAATGTTTGTCGACGAAGTGCACGTGGTCTACTTATGAACCACGGTAAGATCGTTCCGACCGACTGTAACAAGATTTCACCTGGTACGTCGTCGCTCTGAAAACTTCTCCTGAAGTCTTTACGAAAGTAAATTTTGAATCTCTGATGATTGAAATTCAAGAGGAACGAGAGTTCCGCGAGAACAATTTCAGAGAGTCCATCGAGTGTATGTACCAAAGGGGGAGGGGGCTTTAACTCGGTACGGAACGTTGGCCATTTTTATTTCCTTCGCTTTTCCTACGACTGGTCTTTTTTCGACCGTGAAAAATCGGAACGCAGCGTCGAATGCGCTGCACCGCCCAAGAACAACGGAAAAAACGTGGTGAGCCGAATTTTTGGAGCTAAAAGCCGAAACACATACCTCGCGCTTCGATTGGTCGACGTGATCCGCTCGATAACACCGTTATAATCTCGAATGAGATTTCCGTGACGCGGGGAAATCGGCTTTTTACGGGGTTTTCTTTTTTGCTTCTTCCCCTTGTAAACGTCACACCTTCGGCCATCGATCGAGTGTTCTCGAGCGATAAAGGTGGCCCGTTTTTTACGCGATTTTCTCGACCACCCTCGAACCACCCCAGAATAGGTTTTATTCCGCTCGAAATCACTGATTTCTTGTGAAATTTTCAATGGGAAAAAAAGGGGATTTATTATATATACACACTCTGCAAAAAAATTATGGTTATAGTCAGTTATAGTCATTCAAATGACTATAACTCCGGCAAAAATGATCGTATTGATATCATTAAAAAATCGTTTGAAAGTTTGGAATCTATACTTTAAGCTGTTTTCACAAGATTTTAGCTGCGTTGATTGTTGGCAAATTTATAGCGATATAAAGAGCACCCGGGAAATTTTGTAAAATTTTATTCTACTTTGCAATGTTGCATGGGGTGAATAAAATTTTGTATACAACTTACATTCAGACCACTCGAAAGGGACTACCTTCCTGTGTAAAATTAGTGTTCGTCAATTGTTGTGCGATTTTTTTTGGCCGAGTTATTCAACTTTTTAACAAAAATCGTTTTCTTGCTTTAATTGCTTCTAGGAAGCAAAGGAATCGTCCTGGAACGTTCAGCAAAAATGTAGTAGTTTAAGAAAATAGTTGTAAAAAGAAATAATTTTTCATCGAGAAAATGGACAGCGAGAGATAGGCGAAGAAAAATCGAGCAACTGTTTTCCACGAGGTCGACTCGCCGCTGTTCCGATACTTTTCAATTTCAACTCTTTCTCTTTTTTAGGACATTGGAAAAAGCTGTAAGGTTGCGCCCGTCAAACGGATTCAGAAAAGTGAAACGCCTCCGCACACGGATCTGACCCCTTCTCGCGCTATACCGCGACGCTGACGTAGATTTAACGATCGGAATTAACAGGCTTTGAGGGAGAGAAAAAATTCTCCGAACTGTGACAACGACGTGGCCACGTATCTTTCAAAGTGTACCATACTTATAGAACGATTTTTCGAAGATTGCGAAAGCCAATTTCTGACCGAATCGGTAATAGTCGAAGGTAGTATTCACACGTACCCAAACTCAACTTCCACCAGGGGAAAAAGTGGCGCAAAAGAAGGGTCTCCTACCAGTTAATTTCAAGTACTGAAGTCAACATTAAATCGAATGTTAATTTGGCACAAATTTCAGTAATTCCCGATACCAAATAATAGAAGGTCCTTCTCCTACGCCATTTCTTCCCTTAGACCAAAGGAAGTGAGCACACGCGTGAGAATTGGATTTTTGCTGAAGATCATATGAATGTTACTTTACCATCGATTCGTCAAAATTACTGAATCGGTCCAAAAACCGTAACGTTTGATCTTGTTGCAAGATCCTTGTATATTCCTTGAGCTCGAAGAGAAATAGCAAGATTTATACGAGGGGTATTTACGGTCTCCGAAAGATCCTTGCTTTGATTCTTAATGTCCTCCGTTCGGGGCTCCGCGTACATGGGAATAGTTTCATAAAAGGGAGCGAAGCATCGAACGTTTCCGATAAGATCGTTGGAGATCAAAGGTTTTCCGCAATTTTCGCGTGTGTCCGTCGCCCCATCGCCTAGTTTCGTTAGACGAGCGGGGCCATTCTTTTGGCTGACGCTATTGTCTCTCCTCCGATGAAAGATCCTTTATCTAATAGAGGTTTGACGGCAACGCCTGGTTAGCTTCAGGGAAGGAGATGGAATGGAGGGAAGATTAGCTCCGTTCGTCCACGACGGAAAGGGGCTTCGGCCTGCCGTTTCCGCGGCGTACAATAGCCATCTTCAATGGGGACCGAACGCTTCCGCGCGTGCAGGATCGGAAACATTATAATGGATACCCTTGATGTAACGAAAGGGCATTAGATTCGTGATACGATGGGAGGGAATAGGAGCAGTGGACACTAGCCTGAACATTGTTCTTCGTGTAATCCGATTTGATGGGTTTTCAGACGCGATCGACGATTTATGTAGCGATAACGAGCTCTGTCCAGTGACTAGCGAAAGTATTTTAATAGGATCGGGAATATGCTCTGAACATTCCACCGAATTTCATTTATTTAGTTATTGTATGGGTATAATAATGCTGTAAGTGTTCCACATTTTATTTTTACTTCGTTGTTATGTATGCAGCTTACATAGCAATTAAGTAAAAATAAAAATATAGACATTTATAGTAGTATAGTTTATAGCATAGTTTTTCAAACTTTTTTGACTCTCCGCCCCCTTTTCAAAGCTTTTTCTGTTTAACGCCACTTCGGTTAAACCATCTCCATTATAAAAATTGCCAAGTCTAATTGTGCGTGTAATCTTTGAATCTGAAAAAGTTAGACTGAAAATAATGAAATCAAAATAACTAGAACGCCCTCCTAGATCTCTTCAGCGCCCACCGGTGGGCGGTACCTTAAATTAAACAGTTCATTATTTATTCATATTATTGTTTATATTTGCCGTAGGTTTCGGCGATGAACACGAATACAGACTGACGAAGTATCTCCTCGATGGATACGACGCCGGTGTACGGCCAGCGAAGAACTCTTCTCAACCCCTGGCGGTGGTATTTGGTCTTTCCCTTCATCACATAATCGATGTGGTGAGTATTATAATTGAAAAATATCTATATTCAAAACATCGATACTGTCTTGCCTATCATTAGTGAGCAGTCTTGTTTATTTACGATTCTTTCGACAAGTCGAAGACGAACTGGAATATCCAGGCCAAGCCTACTCGAGGATCTGCATTAACATCCATTCCAGGTCGTATGTATCGGCAGCCTGCGTTTAACTCGGCCAATATCTCGATTTATATTCATTACGATACATATATTCCTCGTCTGTGCCACGAGATCCACCGTCTCGACGTTACCAGAAGGAAAGCCAGGAAAAGAGATCCTCTCTCGCGGGAGCGAGGCGTGTCGGGTAACCGGAAATACTCGAAGACAAATCGCCGCCGGGACACGTATAAGCCCGATGGAAACTTGGAAAGATTTATCATCCCGTGTGTACCCTAACGAGAATCATCTTTCAACCTGCATATTTTCATCGAGGGCTGGAGGGGGACCTGGTCGCCGTAAAGACACTTACTCGGGGATGCGCCGCGCGACGAATACTTGACTTCTCCCTCGTCGTGATATAAAGTCGGTCGTTTGTCTCGGTTTCGAGAGAAAATGTTAACGGTGTAGTCTGAAATTGGAAAATCTTCTCATCCCATCAGTCTTTATAAGTGTCCAATAATTGCTCAGAATTACCATTAGTGTTCGAGTGAAATAGATATACAGTAAACTCGCGATTATTGTCTGCACTTAGGGCTCTAGAACAGTTGTGGGAACGGGTGATTATCGAGAGCCAATAGGAAGTTTTATTATCTACAGAATTCTCTTCATCAGATATTCTTCAGAAATTTCTCGTTTCAGGAGTTCCCAATGATTCTCAATAGGATTAAGGTCAGGACAACTTCCTGACCAATCCAGTAATGGAATATTTTTGTCGTGGAGAAATTGTTTCATTGATCTAACCGTACGACACGATGCTCCATCGAACAATATCAATTATGCTTCAGAAAACTGGTGTTAGTTTGATTTTGTTTAATGTAGACAAACGGTCACATTAATATGGCCCCGGTGTGGTTGAAAAAGAAGATAGAAACTTTGATACAGTTCGATACGTATCGGTCCCGCGACACTTTTAATCGCCAGTTGAAAGGAACGTTTCCCCTCCTCCTATTTGCGGGCGAATGAGCTGCTCGATTGCACTGATTTCATGAACGGCCGCTTCCGAATGAAATTAACCGAGCGAAACGGAACTGTGCCACGATTGGGAAGGGGATCGAGTCTCGCTGGAAAACGGGGCATTCATCCGTTCTTTGATTTTTCATCGCAGGACGAGAAGAACCAGATACTCACGACGAACTGTTGGGTGACCCAGGTCTGGACGGACCATCATCTGAAATGGAATGCCTCGGAATTCGCTGGAATCCGAGTGATCCGTGTTCCATACAATCGCGTCTGGCGGCCGGACACGATTCTGTACAACAAGTAAGCGACGACGAAGGTCTGACTGAACGAATGGGGTACCACTTTGATTAACTTTTCGCACTGGAACTACTAGAGTCGTCGAAACGACGGATTGCCGATTTCTTATTTTAAGATTACCGAAATTATTAGGGGCATGTTCGAACTAACTTTTTGAATTCGAAATATTGGATTAAAAATTCTTGAAACATTCTTGGATTTCGAGTGGTTTCGACATGATAAGTTTCAAAGAATTTAAATTACTTAAACGATTATTTAAACAAATAGAACTTTGTTCAGTTACAATTCATACACTACTTCTTTTAAGTGTTAGGACAGTTGATCTGTATAAGGAAATTGTGATGTTTTGTAAAAACGATACATTTAATTTTCGGTTAGAATTTCGATATCGATCGGTCGAAAACGAACAGGGAGGGGGTTGATTTTTTTCTTCCCAATATTACCCAATATTCTCCCCCGTTTTGTTTATAGCGCAGATCCGCAATACAGCTCGGCGGTCATCAATACGAACGTGATCGTGAGCCACACTGGCGAGGTGGTGTGGCTCAGCCACGGGATCTTTCGCAGCAGCTGCGACATCGACGTCGAGTTCTTCCCTTTCGACGAGCAACGATGCGTGCTGAAATGGGCCTCGTGGACGTACGATGGATACCAAGTGAGAAAACTATCCATATCGAATCTTTAACACGCAATGTGACGTGTAAATCACATCTAGAAAATCATATTTCCAGGGGTTTTGTCTCTTCTTGAGTTAATTAACCTCACGAGAAATAATTTTTTTCCCAAAAGGTGTTTGGGAGTAGAAGGGTTGAAAGTAAATTTGAAAAAAAAATTAAAACACAGGTTGGTTTAATATCCATACTTCCGACTGAAAAATAACAAGATATGAATACAATTTTGAAATAAGGATCTAAGGGTCTGTGCGTTAAAGGGTTAACAAAATTCCATAAATGTCTAATTTAGACGGAATGAATCTACATATTACGTTGGAAAGACGATTCGATCGAGGCTGTAATTTCGACTGGACAATAGGAACCGGATTCGCAGTTTTCCGAGCGATTAACTTCACAGAGTCTGCGGCAGCCACACACACACACACACACACACACACACACACACACAGATATCATTTAAACGATTCGTCGATTACCATTCTTCGTCGAAATTTTTTTTCGTTTACCTAGGTAACATACAGGTCTCTAGAAACGGCTAGATCCTTCAACGGAATAGATCCTAATCGTCCGACGAACGACGTGGTTACGCGATTCAATTGGACAAAACACGCGCGCGACCTGCATCCCACCCCTTTTGGCTGAGGCATCCTCCTATCTCTCTGTTGCCCTCAATTTCACGCAGTTCCTCCCGCGGGACGATATGCAAATCAGGAAACGGATACATAGACGGGAAGCGTCCATTGCGGAACAATCAAAGTATACATATATCAACGAAACCTTGAAACTCTATACGACGGGGCCAAACCCTTTCTTTCGGGGGTGATTCTCTGGGAAAAAATTCTGTTCGCTCGTTATCGGCCCCAGGGACCTCTTCGTTTCCGAAGAAGCTGGAGAACACGGATGAAATTCGCGATCTCCGAGACTGAACCGCAATCTCGATATTTTGTGGCTTCCCACGAAGATCCTTTGAATTAAAAGTTCACGTAGCCTGAATACGATTCGTCGAAGCTAAGACCGGGAGGGATACGGCGATCGATCGATGGAACCCTTTCCCAATGTGGCTACTTACTCGAAATTACGAAATAAAATGTTAGTATCGTGTATTTTTTCCGTATCTGTCAGTATATAATAGTTTTTTTTAAATCTTATACAGGGTGTCTCATGTAAGTGTGATTCCCTGAATATCCTTTTACAATTGCGAAAATGCAAAAATATTTTATACGTAATTTTAATGGTATTAAGTGGTCAGTATTCTGAAGGCGTTGCTTTTTCTCTCGAAGTTTTCAAGGTCTTCGATAATTTTTTTCAAATACCAACAGGTCATATTATAATACATATCTGAATGTATTTGTTCACGAGTTACACGATATACACAAACATACAACAAAATATTCCTTTGGTAATTTTAAAATAATTTGGGAACGAAAGGGTTATGGAATTATCCACATGGGGATCGAATGAAAAATGGCATTAGACGGTTTCAAAGGGTTAAAATGTTCTTGTGGATCATTTATTAAAGTTAAGAGCTCGACTGTCAGGGGCCAGGCCGGCCAGGTCGAAAAGTCGTCTTTACGAGCGCGTCCTGTGGATCGTCAGAAAATCGTAGAAAAATGTCCACCAGTGAAAACGGGCCACGAATAGGCAGAGCTTTCACCCCCTTCGGTCCAGAAAGACGCTTAACAGCCGAGGCAAATCGAAAATACCGTTGCTGCTCGTGCAAAGTCGCGAGAATGTCCCGGAAAATCGAACAGCCTTAATCCCCCTCCGACGTACGAGAGGAGTCTGTGAATCGTGCGAGGCCGTTTCTCTATGTACGTAGGTACCTACGGGCGGCCACCTTTTTACCAAGTTTTCCCATTTCCCTATTCCGTCGTTGAATACATTTCGCGTTTTTGTCGCTCTAAAACGACTGGGAGGCGATCCCTCCCCGATTAGGCGTTCCGGTTCGGGAAATATTCATCTTCCCCTATATACATATAATCCATAAGTCCATTACATGTATATATCGTGATAAATCGGTTCCTCGGGTATTTATATCGACGTTAAAAACGTTTATTTTATATTGTGCGTCCATCCGTATTATATCGAGTTCTGGACATTCAGTTTTCACATATGTCTATCTACAGGGTGTCCCAATATTAATGGTACGTCGCGAAATAATCCTGTACGCCGGTGGTGAAGTTTCCCATTTCCACTGTCCAGTCCCGTCAAATACCGTTTCCTCGTCGTTGCGTTTCTCCTGCCTCGACACCTGTCCAAGCGACAAACACATACGGTGTGTGACATGTAATCGCGTCCCGTTTGCAGCGTTGGGTTTTAACGTGGATGGACGCGTTAACACTTTTTTTAATCCAGTCGAGGACAGACTAGCGTCGGCTGGTTGTAATTGGTCCGGTGACCAATCTGGCTGTATACCAAACCGTTGGTTCGGTACTTCCTTAATCCTTTGCACCACCTAATAATTCTTTTGAAATTTTTTTCCAATAACTTCCTACTGTGTTAGGTGAAAACTAAAAAAAATAACTTTTTAATTATCTCTTTTAGTTTTTCAAATTTTAGTGCGTATAGATAAGAAGCCTATTAATGTAGTCGTAAGATCAGGGTTGAAGAAGAAATTGTTACGTTGTTATACACTGCGAGGCATAACTGTACAACCACCTTAAAAGTTTCAGTCCTTATGTATTGTGGTTAAAATAAAAACGAACCCCTTTTTGCGAGAGTATGTAGTCTTTTCTGGAGAAACATTATTTCTCAACTGGATTTCAGACACGACATACTTGAATCGTTTTTATTTTAACCACAATACATAAGGATTGAACATTTTAGGGTGGTTTTACAGTTACGCCACACTGTAATAGTTCCTTGGCTGTTGATCCTTGAATCTGATGAACCTATTAAACACTAAGCCAATATGGTGATGTGTTAATTCGGATGGAATGATCATCGAAACCGTGTATGTGCAGCTCGAGCTGGAGAGACAGAGCGAGCAGGGGGATGTGAGCAATTATCAAGCGAACGGGGAGTTCGATCTGATCGACTTCTCCGCGAGACGGAACGTCGAGTACTATTCGTGCTGCCCGGAACCGTATCCGGACATCACCTACGAGATCCGACTACGTCGACGACCGATGTTCTACGTGTTTAATCTGATTCTTCCTTGCATCCTCATCAACGGCGTCGGTGAGTCGATCACTTTCTTCGCTGTACAGTAAATTCTTGATGAGTGTTCGAAGGCTCCTTGGCACTGACAATGAAAGGTCTCCAGATTTAACAATGACTTTTTTAATGAGGTTGAGCACAGTGATAGAGCTTGGCATTCTGAAGCCAATAGTATTTATTTCACTCATCGAGGGTTTACTGTACATACTTTGTATCCGTGGCATTCTTCGTCCCGAAGTGAACAGATCCAAACAAGTGGAAAGTACTCGACAACTTTCACTCCCCTCCGACGTTTTTCCTCTTTTTATGAAATTTGCAATTCCACCGTTACAAGAATACAGGTCGCGTTGCCGTCGAAAGATGCAATCTTCTTCAAGAGGAGAGGGTCAAGCACCGTTATCGTGGATCCTGGAGTGGAAATTTCATTAGAACACTCGAGTAGTCTTCGATGAAAGGAAAAAAACCGCCCCTGCTGGTTACGAGTTTGTATTCTATACAGGATGATACAAAAAAAGGCTTCGTAACTTCTAGGGTAGATAGTATCGCCAATTGATGGAGAAAAGTCCGAATAAACATGGGTCGAAAGATTAATATTTTCGAAGTTATTAACAATCTTTCTATTGTATGAAAACAATGAATAACATTATCAATGATATCGTTTCTTCTTTTCCTGGTAAGAAGAGGTTTTCTACAATTTTTAGTAGTATTGTACAATTTTGTTCACTGCTGAAAATATTAATTTTTTTATTCATGTTCTTCAGGACTTTTTTTCATCACTTGACGAGTACTATCTACCCTAGAAGTTCTGAACCCTTTCTTTGTATCACCCTGTATACATATACAGGGGCCATTCTTCTCGGCCCGATTGGAATTCGAATGGTCTCTTTAGAGAGGCCTAAGTATTAAATTTTCTTGACGAAAGAGTGGGGGTCGTCGTCGTGTCATCTGCTGGAAGAAAAAGGATTTATACGGAACTTTGCCCCCGCCCCTCATTTTTTACCATGCCGTTCGCAGAAACTTTTCACGCGGGCGAAGAATGCCCTCGTCTCTGTTCGATATTCTATGACGAGGAGAACGGTACCGATAGTGGAAGTTTCATCCAGCCGGTGTTCACATTTCTCCCCCAACGTTTGTTCAGCTCTGTTGGTATTCTACGTGCCCTCGGAATCAGGGGAGAAAGTCACCCTCGGGATCTCGGCTCTTCTGTCCATGACGGTCTTCCTGATGACCATACGCGAGACACTGCCACCGACCGAGAAAACGCCGTTGATCAGTGAGTATACATTTCATTATGATTAGAGATGAAAATCTTTAATATTACATATAACTTGATACAGCATAGAAATGGAAATACAATGTTCTTTCCTTACTGTCAATAGTATAGTTTTAACATATTTTAACATGTAGTATATTTAGTTATACATCGAATAAAAATTAAACAGGACGTAATGAAATAAGTATAAAAAAAACAATGTTGAACGATTTTCTCTTTGAGTTGGTAATATTGAACAATTATAGATTTAACATTTTTTTTTTTATAATAGGGCTAACTGGAGACTAATTGGCCGATTAATTGACTAGGGAACTAAAACTCTAGTCGATATATTTCTATATAGTTATGATACTGTTTCGAAGCTCGTAGATCCAGCTGGTAGAACCATAAATACTGAATCCTTCGAGCGAAAAAGATATGGTCCCAGGGGCCATTATCGAGATCCATTGAAACGTGTGAATTCCCCGCGACATTTGTTTACGCCGCGGAGACAAAGGGTTTCCTCCTCTCAATCTTTCAATAGAAAATGCTGGAACTTGCCTTCTGAGAAATAATCAGTCTCTCAATTTGAGGTATAACGAGGAACGAACCGACACACAGAGGATTTCCACGGGCTTGTAGACTCTCGGTGGTGGGGATCGTTGTAACCGCGTTGATTGAAAATTCCCAGGTGTCCCGTTGCAAAGCTCCTCAGCGAGAGGCAAATGGAATCACGTTTAACCCCGTCGTCGCCTAGAAAGTGTTGGGAGGACACATCTGGGTGCATTCATCAGTCCGTGGAACTCTGGAGCAATTAGAAGAACCGTGTGAATTATTAGGTTTACAAATTAATTCGTGGCCCCACAATTAATTACTGACAATCGCCATTATTTTTCCGAGAGGGGACTCGCCAAGTGTTCGAGAAATGGCGTAAATGTATTAGAAAGTGATGGGAAATATTTTCAAGACTAGACTGTATTTTTTTTAAGTAAACAACAAATCTATGAGAAAAAGATCACGAATCAATATGTACACCTAATAATTTACTTACGAGATTCCGTTTAAAAACGTAGTGATTAATTACGAAAAATTTGAGTTATATTTGCCGATTTCCAGGTCTTTATTACGGGGTCAGTATATGCCTGGTGTCGTTCGCCTCGGGATTGGCTGTGGTCACGTTGAATCTTCATCATCGCGGCGTACGGGGCACCAGAGTGCCGGGGATCGTGAGGTCTTTGGTCCTGGACAAGCTCGCCAGGGTGGTCTTCTTGAATTTCCAGGAAGAGAACAGATCGGTAACGTCTATCCTTAACCAGATATTAGTTTTCCTCCTTTTACCATTCCACGAATATGCGTCGTTTCCATTCAGGAACCGGTCGAGCCCGCGAGACGGAAGAACAATTGTCCGTTGCACTGTAAACCGGAAGTAACGCAGTCGCAGTCGTCGCCGAAATTCGTGACTCGAAGGGAGGACAGCGGTAGCAGTAGTCCAAGTTTAGGTGAGTCCTTTGGGTCACGGTAAGAAGATGATCTACACACCTTTATGGATCTAGTTCCTGATCACTGAAGAGTAACGACGGTTTTTTAAATGTATAAGTAGCAATATTAACCAAATCCATTAAATCCAATTTAACTTTCAAGGTAAGAAGTGCAAAGGAAACAATTTCGGATCACGTAAATTATATGTCTGTATCTTACCCTGGCTATCGAATTTTACGCATAAATTTCAAAATAGTTAGTCATTTTTTGGACAATAGCCTTTATTATAATGAACTTATTATATGGTGTCTATATACTGAACTCATCTGGAATTGGGTTCTGATCAGGAACTAGATCCGTGACGGTACCATGGATCGGTTAGTTATAAATTCCAAAAAAGAAAACGTTTGTGAACTGGCGCAGATCTCGGGAAAGAGGGTGGCCTTGAGGCTCAATGGTCGCGGGTCCTGGGAAGAGTGCACGCGACGATCGAAAGAAACGAGCGACGTCTCACCGAGCAGGATCGACGCGAGAGAACGGAATTGGATTGGAAACAGGTCGCGTTGGTCAGCGATCGGGCACTGCTCTGTGTTTTTTTCCTGACGACGATCGTCAGCACCACCGTCATCCTGTGCGGCTCGCCGCCGACCACGAACATTGCCAAAGAGGGCTGAGACGAGATCGATGGGAAAAATGAAACTAATTAAGGACACTCGTCGAGAGTAACTTCGATTCTTTTTTTAATAAGGTCGATATGATTTCGTCACGCATCTTTTCTGTTTGGCTTTAGGAACAGCCTCGGAGGTTTATTTCTTTTTTTTTTTTTTTCATATCGTAACGAAGAACGTTTGACGCCGATTCATTGGACGTTTTGTAAATATAATACGTACATTGAGAAGTTCCTGGCGTGTGTATCAAGTCGGATTGACACTTGCGTGTTTTTTAGGGTAAGATTATTATGGTTATTCGTTCACCAGGAATTCACTGGTCTAATAATAAACTCCCTGTTCTATTGGTTAATTTTAAGGATAATACACCTTTATTATAAGTATTTGTTATAAATATATGTCGTATTATAAAAGATTTATTAAAATATCCGTGGAATATTGATTTCTAGTAGTAATCAGGTACTGGAGCACAGGCTATCTTTACAAAGTCTTCGTACTTAACGTACCCACTTGGGGACACATTAGCCTCACGAAAGATTTGTTCCACTGTAACATAGACATGAGTGTATTTGGTCATTGCAGCTACTTGTTTTGGTGTTTTGTCGAGTTTAAACAATGTGTACAACCTTCTTTGTTGCTTAGTTGTTCGCCCCAATGAAGCAGCATGTGGGCCAATTGCCGAGCAGGTATGGTACCGCTTCTAGACTTATCTGCAGCTTGGAATGCTTGTATCACTTCTTTCGGAAGGTCCTCTGACCTAGTCTGTAGATGCATCACCTCTAAGAAGTCAGCAAACGACATCTTTCCACCTGGGAACACAAGCTGACTTTAGTTACCATTCATAATTGTAAGCAACTTTATTTTCACCTTTGTCCTTTAAATATTTATTTAATTCTGCAATAGTGGGACTCAATCCCAATGATCTCATAATGATTGTGAGTTCATCCAGAGTACGAATTTGACCACTTCTTGCAAACAAATAGAAACATTCCCTGAATTCTGTGGACAAACACGTATTTTCTAAGTTACAAAGAACAAGTTCACAAGAATGCACGCAAACGTACCATCTATATCTTCCTCTCGAAAATAACGGGCCTAAAATTTATATAAGACGGATTATTTTCGCTAAACGTTAAGTGCTAATTAGTGTATGTATAAGCGATTCAAGTTAGTTACCATAATCAACTCTTTTTATAAATCACTCGTTATAGTATCACTTTCTACCTATTGTTTATGTGTTAAAATAACGTTACCTGAGGTAAGGATAGGTGTGCATTACCTCACCTGAGCCCACCTGGTTCTCTATTATTGTACACAGGCGACATCTTCGACTGGATCGTGTACTACGTAATCGCAACTGTAGATGGTTACCATCTGTAGTCGCGATCGATCTTCGTTTGAATTTTTAAATTTGAAAAAATGTACACAATTTTTCAAAGACTTTTCTCGATTTTAAATATTAGGATTTTCAAATTTCATATGTATTCACACAATTTGCTACATTAATATTTTTACTTTTTGTTCCTCCTCTATTTAAGCATCTTCTGATTCATCGCGTTACGGAAGTAAACAAAGCAAGAAGAATTCAATAAAAACAATCTCAGAAGTGAATCTTGCAGGACAAATGAAAGTTCAAAACGTTTTGTTGCTCGACTACTACTGTGTAAGTACATAAGCACAGATTGTTAGGAACAAGTATACAAAAACAAGGATCAAACAATAATCTTTCTATTCAATTGACTAACCAGGTCTCAAATAAAGAAAAGCTCTTATTGAACATTACAGAACGTAACCGTGGTCGATCACGAATTCTGGAAACGTACAAACACACCAGCGATTGCCCGTGAAAGGATACACTCGCGTCTCCGTCATACATGTCGAGAAGGGAAAAGCGAGAATCCCGCTACGAGAAAAACTCGCTTGATCGGAAAAGGTCTGACAAATGGTGCCAAGGGCTGCGCTCGTATTCAGGGCAATTTCACTCTGGGGCAATGTCAGGCTCTGTTCATTACAGAAGGGTTCTGCGGGCGCGCCATGTTTCATTCCTGAAGGGGCCTAATACAGAAAAAAAAAGAAAGAGGAACAACTCCCAGGGCCGTCGATAAGGACAGAGAGGAACGATCGTGGACCCTTCGATCGCCCTTCCGCTTCGTGAACGCACCTTTCCTTCGACCGGCGGCTAAGGTCAAGTTACGCGTAGGTGGGAGACTCGTACACACTCGCGAAGGGTGGGGGGAACGTCGGGGTGGTGGTGGCAGGACGTTTCAGTATTGGAAAGCGTTGGTCCGCGTTCAGACCAGCGGGGGAAAGGATCCACGGGAATAAAACGAGGAACGTTCGATTGGGGGTTAGGAAAAGGGACGAAGATGGAGCGAGAAAGTTGATAAAGGGGGAGTTGGGAGGGAAAGGGGGTGCAGCGCACAGCTGGGTCGAAGGCGACCCCGGTGGGGGAAGTCGTTGTCCTCGGGAGTCTCGGTTCGCGCCGGAGTCACGAGTGATCCCGTCAGTGCAACGCGGAACGCGTTCCTGGTCGGGTTCGGTGTGGGACACGAAGGTTCTTACTCCGACCGTGCTTTCCTCCTGTCTGTGTGTCCCTTTTCTTGCTCCATCGGCTTCTCCACACGAAAATTTCACCTTTGTCGCGACGGAAAACACGTTGTGTTGTGTGACACGCGAGAAGTGTGTGTATGTGCGTGGTTGCCCGTGTGGTTGGTGTGGTGTGGTAGTAGTAGTGCGACAGAATGCGGTACAACGACCGCATAAATGAGTAATCGGAGGACGAGAACCGGTCGGAAGGACGGAGAGAAGATCCCGGCGGAAAAGACGCCAGCTCGTGTGGTAGGACTCGAGCCGCCTGTGCATAGGTAAGGTAGGTGTCAGATAGTACACGAAAGCCAGGCGAGCACGCGCAATATTCTACGTGCAACGGTCCGTCTGTCCTTTTCTCGCGTCTCTCGTACCATCTCTGTCAGTTTGTTCGCTCTGGACCAAGCATGAACTTACGTGTAGCTTCTTTTGCTTTGTTTCTTCGTTATTTTTTTATCGCTCTCGTGCACGTCTCTGCCTCGTTCCTGCGTACGTACACATACCACATCTGCATTTTCCCGCACGTACCTGTCGAGAAGAGAATGGTAAAGTCGCTCGAGAACCATGCCAGATTTCTCTCTCCTTCTCTGTCCCTCTGGCGACCGTAGAGTCACCGTTAGGCTACGTTTACACAGAGTGCAACGTGGTGTCGCGGAACACGCCAGTCACCCCTAAATAGGGGGTTGATTTTAAGGGTATAGAAACGCTCGTGCCATGCGATTTAACACGAGACGTACATGCACACGCGGGTTCGACCGAAACATGTGTTTTTGTGCACAAGTGGTTTCTTTGTTTATGCAAAAGTGGTTTCTTTCGAAATAAATCTAGGATAGCTGTTTTGTAGGTAATGTCATTCAATAGATTGTGTTGGTACTGGTAATATTGACCTTGCACAAAAACAGTATAATCGAGCATGTGATACCGCGAGTAATTACATGGTCGTTAAACCTGGAACAACATTACCGTTGAAAAGTCTAGTGCGTTGTCCATTGTTTATAAAACAGGATCTACCATAAAGCATACCTGTTTTGCTATCTACGGTATGTGTTTACCGTAGATACATTCTGCAACGTCCCTAATGTACACGGAAGAGCTTTCTTGGCCTGAAGAGCCATAAGTTGCTCTAAACACTTCAACGGCATTAGACGGGTATTATAATACTTATATAACGGGATACCTCTACGTTGCACCGCATCACGTAATTACAAGCATCACTTTTAGCGCTGAAACTTTCCAACTAAATTACAACTGCCTTCATTAAAGAAAGCAAATTTCTCTCTATCTGTTGCAGCGATGTAAACGCACCCTTATTGCGTTCGACAAACACGATGTGTGCAACACTATCCAATTCCCATTCTGTTCTCGCGTCGGGTCTTTGCATATCTGTTACTTATAGCTATCCTTCTTTGCGTTCGGTCGATGTACACGAACTGTCGTTCTTTTCGACAAGGGGAATCCTCGTTTTTCTTTTTCACAACGAACGTTTCGTTTTCCGATATACCACAGGGATCGAATGGGAACGGGAAGAACAGATAGTCAAAGGGATCGTCGGCTGTTATCTGTACGGTGGAAATTGCGAAAGTTCAGCGAGAGTTTAATTGTCGTTTAACGGAAAAACGAGCGTTAAACGCGACCGCCCGGATATCGGGATCCGGCGCGCGTGTAACGAGCGTTACATAAGGATGCTTATCCGCGTGAAAGTTATATTACAAGAAAAAAAAAATATTACCCGGTGTAGTAGTTGTAGTCTGTGGTTAGAGAGGCTACGAGAGCACATTGTTCTGCGGTCCAAAGGTTTTTTAAGGAGCTCTCTGCCCCGCCGGCGTACGGGAAAAGGAGCTTTAAGACCGACCCCCTCATTTACGTTATCGGACAACGAACTTTCCCGCGTAATTGCCAACAGTGCCCCGGGGCACCGGTTCACGGAAACGTGTTACAAACGTCACGGTAAAATCATTACACGTGGTACCTACCCTATAACCCGGGAATGTGATTAGGTACACTTATCGAATCAATGTACCGAATGATGGAACCGAGGTAGATATATTAATAATGTGATATGGATTATTAATATTATCGGCTGCAAATTAACGATTCTTGACCTTTGACGATTTACCTGGCGTAGGAATCAATCCAGCGGAAATACAAGGCCCGTATTAAGATTTTTGGGGCCCTAGTCTATCAAACCTTCGGGGGCGCCCTTGATTGAAAAACTGACATAAAATACACAATAAAATACGTAAATCTTTAAAAAGTATCTACATAATTATTTTATATGCCTAATATTTTTTTTATGTAAATGAAAAGCTTAGAATAGAGCCCTTGATCCGACGCTGGGAAATACTGTACCTACCGAGAATTAGCAGCCCTCGAAGTTTCGAATTAGCGTCTGCATTAGGTTCCGGTTAATTCGTTGGATTAATAGCAGAATATGCCTGGTATTATTCGGCGCAAACTCTAAATTGCTCATTCTTACGGGTCCCAACTTCAGCTGGGGCGTTGCGTAGGTATACGGTATCGTGTTATGGCATTAATAATCTCCTCGTGTTAGTAACCGGGACCACGGCGGAGTTTATAGCTTCAGTTTCCCGAAACACCGTAACAACGGCACTACGATGCCAATCGCGAGAAACGACGGTGAATTAATATACCAGACACGTCCGTAACCTGTCTTAAACGTCGAATTCGCTGTCGACCAAACGGAATCGTGTATGTACACTATATACGCTCGCAACCAGGTTCAGACTTCGTATGTCTGTTAAGCAGTCAATAATAAGGGATACGTATTTCTTTTTATCGGCTGAGACGCGACTTTAAGGGGTGGAACCAGCTCTCAAAGTTTCGATCTGAAATTTTTTTTTATAAACAAATTATATTTTTGGCAATTTGTTAGCACCATAGTATTCTACATAAAAAACCACAAATCTCGTCCATTAGAAATTTTCATGTATCTCCTCTGTTTTTTGAGATAGTACTTTCGGGTCGAAACTTCGAGGGATGGTTTCAGCCCTTAAAGTCCCGTCTCAGCCGATAAAAAAACACACGTATCTTTTATTTTTGTCTGCTTAACAGACATACGAAGTTTCTCTGCCTTCCCTTGTAAGAAAGGATTTTTTTCAACCCTTAAAGGGGTGAAAATACATTTTCTGGGACTTTTTGAAGAATCGAATCGAACATCCTTAATACATAATCGCTTTACAAGATCACCACAGTGACGAGAACGTTCTCGGTTGCGCATTACGCAAAACGTGTAGCGCTGGTGCGTTACGAGGTAACGGTTCAGCGCGAGACGCGCTCGATGGAAAATTGTCCGATGAGAGCAAGGCACCGTTGCCCTCCGAGAATTCTACTGCGGGCCGCCAGAGAGCCCATCGAACTTTTCCAACCGTGTTTTCTGCGGTTTCTGCTTGTTTCCGCGACGGAGGGTGTGGGGGGGGGGTCTCATCGAATCACGGTTCCGACGAGAACCGTTCGGAATTCCACTTTGGTCGAAATGGCAAACAGCGAATAGATTCGGGGAGCAGCTCTGCGGCTTTTCGCTTCCATATTTCCCTAATTGGCCCCGGTGGCCTGGCCACAGAAACCGGTAGTTATACAGCCCCAAGAGTCTTTAGGCACGATGGGAACCATCATCGACTTTCCCATTTCTGTTTTGGTTCTCCTGTCGGACGGATAGCAACGAGGCCTCGCGCAGCTTTCATGAGAAATTGCTTGGATTCTTTTTTTTTATTGAAATTATTATGAATTTTTATCGTCCTTTCGAAACTGGAGTGGGAATAACGAACCCGATACTGCGTCTCTTTCGGGATGACCTCGGAACCTAGAACATCTAACACATGCAATATCGGTCCCGTTACTCCGATTCACCGTGGACACAGCCGCGCATCTACACAAGCGCGACCTAATTTTTTCACATCGTCGAATTTCAGCCGGGCCTCGCCTAGAAGTCTTATCCGTGGAAGAAACGTTCGCGATAGAAGAGCAGCAACCAGCCAGCCAGCGAGTGTTTCGAATAAATGAGAAACGTGTTCCACCGGGCGGATTAATTCCGCTCCGTGGAAATTAACTTCTCCCTAGGGACGGAAAAAAGAGGATTCTAGGGAGGGGGAGGGGGATGGCTGCTGTGGCAATCAGCCGAGAAAACGCGTGGCCGTTATTGCCCGGCGTGTTCACCTGGCATATTCGAGGTTCCGTTCAATTGCCACCCGTTTGAACGCCCCCCTCCTCCTCTCTAATAATGGCCAATTGATACGTTATCGCAGCTGGTTGCATGTGAACGCGTACATACAGCGGTATTAAACATTCGGTCGGATGAAGGCACGGGTTGCGTGTTCACCGCGTTGTTGCATCCTGCTCGTCGTCGGTCCATTGTTCTCTTGAACGGTGCGGAGGTGGTGTGTGCATCGCCATCTCCGCTCCGGGGGCACGGGAACGCGAAAGAGGACACAAAGGCGCGCGTAACAATATCGCCGCGCGATTCTACGTGGGACGATTATCATTCGTGGATCGTAGAGCGTCGCCTTGCGTGTGCGCAACACAATTTTGCAAATTTCCGCGAATTTTTCACGCCGGGGACACACTTCTATCCTATTCGATTCGTTTTTTTTTCTTCTTTTTCTTTATCTTGCACCCTTGAGGCGATAATAGACACACCGTGAGCCGTTCGCTACTAGGAACAGGAATCACGTGCCATTAGTAAGATAGATCCGTGAGTAGGGTGTACGGACGGTAAAGTCGCGTTAACTGAGCGTGGAAAGGTCTCCACGGTAACTGTCAAGCGCATCCTTACATACAGGGAATTAACTCATCGTTGTCTGTACAGTACAGGATGTTGAAACCGAAGCAGCCATAGTCGCTCATAATAACCTACTATATTGTACTCACTATACCGGGTGTCTTATCTAAGTGTGACTTCTGGGATACCTTTATTAATTACGAAAACCCAAAAAATATTTTATACGTAATTTGAGTGGCATTAAATAGTCAGTATCCTGCAGGCATTATTTTTCTTTCAGATGCGGCTTTTTTCTCGAAAGATTTCAAAGTCATCGAGGTTTTTTTCTCGGAAGTTTTCAAGGCCATCGATATTTTTTTTGCCTCAAACAACTACATATTTCATTAGGTTATATCATAGCACATGTCTGAATATATTTTTTCATGAGTTACGCGGTGCAGTAGGAAAATGTATGTATGCATTACGATGGAACGATCGCACGGTAGGCTGAGCGCGAACGATTCGCGACGAAACGGAAAACGCGTGGTAGAGCCGTGCGCGCGCGCTACTTACACGGTTATCTAGTTTCGCCAGGCTTATCTGCTTCCCATTTATGTTTCTTTGATTACCGTTTCCGCGACCCAATTGTAATCCAGAGCATCGCGTTCGAAAGCGGGGCTCGAACCAGATATTCACACCAGCGAGACTTTTATGCGTTCAGTCCACGGGCTGGTGAAGAGATGATCATCGCGATATCGAACGTTTCGATAAGTGCTCGACGTTTTAACGGGCAGACGGGCAGAACCAGGCGGTTGGAAAATGCTCTGGGAACTGCTCGGTTACGGTCGTTCGATTCGACCGACACGCACGACATTATTAGACCTGCAGAAAAAGCGAAAAATTAACGTCCGCCCTGTACTCGAGCTCGTGGTGTACATGCCCTCGATATCGTTTTTCTATAGTTCGTACAAATGGAAATTCTACCATGGGGAGGTACACTACCAGTCAAAAGTATCGGATGGAATAGTAACTCATTGTTCTATTACGATGTAATGAAAGTTACGGAATCAGTACATATTGAAATCACTTTCAATCAGTTATACCGCGACAAAGATATCCTTAGGTTCCCAGTAATTTACAAAAAACTGTCTTGGAGTGCAGAAGAGGGTTAAAATTCTTTACAAAACGTCATATTGTCATAGTACAGACCAAGTGTCCACATACTTACAACCGGTAGTATACAAACATTTCCGCGTAACACGATCATCACGCGCGAAAAAGCTCTCACGGTTATCGCCTCTCCTTCCTGTCATCCCCCACCCCCCTTTGGCTGGCAAAATTCGTTGGATCCCGATGAAAAATGGGTTCCAGCGATGCGAACCGATGCACGCGTTGCCCAAACGTTTGTCGCCGTTTTCACCGTCCCCGAACGTGTATCAAAATGAAAAAAAAAAAAAAATCTGCAACAAAGGCTATTGGACGCGCTTTTGGAGGTCCACTAGGAACCAAAATACAGCTTTCACGGTATACCACACTTCCGATTCACGAAAACGCACTCTCTCTTCCCTCTACTCACTCGATCCTCCCCATTTAAAACGAACGAATGAAGAAAAAGAATACGCGTCGAACCGAAAAGACGCGAGACCAATTCCTAAATTAATCCAGGCTTCTTTCATACCTTCCGTCATCTTCTCAATTTTTTTTTCTCTCGTTCCAGGGGGTAGAATCGATCGACACGGAGGACGAAAGAGGTAGCCCGATCGGAGACGCTATCAGGGGGAGGGAGAAGGCCAGATAGGACCAGAGAGAGAGAGAAAAAAAAGCTGAAAGCGGGGGAGGGTCGAAAGGTTGAGCGACCGACGAAGGAGAAAGAAGAGGACGTGGCGGAACCACGTTCGCCGGAGGAGGAGGAGGAAGACGGAAAGTGGAAAAGAGAGAGGGAACAGAGAGGGGAAGAGAGATGAGCCTGGTGGGTGACTCGCAAAGCGCGGTGGTCGGCTGTTCGACGAAAGGCAGATAGCGCCATTAGTTGTTGCTGGGTCGGAGAACGTCGTGCCGATGCCCGCCACGGCCCTGGCCATTGGCGAAGAAGGGGAAGAGGAGGAGGAGGAGGAGGAGGAGGAGGACGGGGCAAAAGGGGGCAGGAGAGGGCACAGTGGGGCCCGGAGGGCCGCGATGTACGACCCCTCGAAGGGACATCATCCGTTCGGGACTCCCCAGATTTTCTTCCTGGTGCTCGTTTGCCTCTCGATCGCCGCCGATGCCTCGCCTCTTCATCCTGTGCCACCGCACCGAGGTGAGTCATCTTCGATTTCAGACGTCCGATCATGGAATTCCCAATCATTGGCCTCTTGACACATCGACTTCTGCCCTACGGATGATAGTTTTCGAATGATCACTAGGATCCTGAATAGGGATGTTCGATTCCGATGCTTCGAAATTTCGATTCCCTTGGGTAACACGTCACTGGCATGTCATAACAGAATTGCAACCAGAATGGCTACAAATTTGATACAGAATCTGTTATATTTAATTTAATTTAATTCATACGGGTGAGAACCCATTTTTACAATATTTGATTTAAAATGTTACGGCACACTAATACAATAATAATCAAATGAGGTAAATGAAATACAACAATTATAAGAATAGAATTCAGTTAGATATAAAAATACATTGGTACTTAACCTAATAATGATAAAAGTAACTATGTTGCTCTATCATAGAGAACACTGTGTAATTCAATTAGGCGCGAAAATGACAATTTTGTCGTTCCAATTATTTGCCAAAGTGCAAATTCTATTAATTGGGTCTGTGTTATTGAAGCGAGAAGAGAGTGAAGTTGGTCTGAAAAGCATAGGTGTTCTGGTGTGACGAGTGGGTGCGTTGAAGTGTATCAGTGAAGCAATGAAAGAATTATTAGTATGACCGTTTATATTACTAAACGGTGACAGAAACACCGTCGAAACGAATCGAAATCGAACATCCTTAATTCTGGGACGGTTTCACGGGTGATAATACTGTTTCTCGATAGAAAATCCGATACAGAGTTATCAGGAGGGGTTGGTCGCGCACCCCAGTAGTTCGCCACCGCGAGCCAAGTCGTCGATAACGATCATCCCTGGTAATTAGATTATTGGACGCTGTTGCGTAATCAACAAGCCCTGAGGACGCCACGAGGCGCCGTTAAACTTCCTTGGACGGGGCGTGAACACGCGTGCTTTGATAGTCAACACTCGACGACGCTTTTGTCTCCGAGCGTCGCCTTTGTTCTTGATCGGTATTTACCGCGGGACAATGGGAACGCGATCCCGAATGGCACTCTAATTGTAAGTGAACAGTGCAAGATACACCCCTCTGATAAAATCCGACTTTCCGTAACTTGTTAATAGACTCCCTTGATATATTTAAAGGAAAGTAGAGTTCTGTAAGTTTCTATTGTACTTGTAACAGTGCCCAACACTTGAGTTCCATCAAATGAAAGTGACAAAGGACCAACAATGTCTTATTTTGCCGATACTCTTTCAAATGCACATTCAAAATTTTCCCATGCCATCTATATAAAACTAGAAGAAACTATTGTATTATGTACTCAAAGATACGGAGAAATTCATGATACTAACATTTTATTTCGGAATTTATAGTATATAGCCATATAGCAACAGTGGGAACGAAAGGGTTAATACGTATCCGTTCTCTGTTCCCTCGATCGAAGTTCCGTATCTTTGTTCCCCGACCGCGACAGTGAAAGTCCGCGTCCCCACCCACGCAGCCCCGAATTTTGCAAGATCCTCGAAATCGCTCGTAGTGATTTCTCCTTTGTCCCAAAGAGAGAGAGAGAGGGGGGGGAGGTTCCGTCAGGCGAGCTAGCTACACCGTATAATTTGATATTTCGTGACGTAACGCGCGACAACTCTCGGCGGAAACTAGCCGTTCCCTCGTTATAAGTTATCCACTCGGGCCTGTCGAGTGACGTGTAACGAGGGAAGGACTCATGTTTTACAAAGGCTGAAATAGTCTTCACCGAAAAAAAGACTACCACTTCGCTGCGATCTTACAAGGAGAGGTACCTAGGTGTGCCTTTTTTGAAACCAATGATATTTGTTTCAGTGGCGTGTGAGCATTGATTTATGAGATATTTCATGTTAAAGTTGTAGTATACATACAGGGTGTCCCATTTAAATCGACCCACTCGAATATCCCCGAAAGTGTTGACGATATTAAAAAATGTTCTCCATAAATCCTATTAAATAGGAAGTGTAACCTTCATTAAAAAATCGGCGTTACATCTGGGGATCTCTCCTTGTTACATACTCCTTTCGATTATTGTCCCGAACTCAAGTCCGCGCTGGGACAATAATCTTATAGGGAGGAATGCTTCAGACCCTCGTAAATTCGTTTTTTAAGCCAGACAATAATCGATAGGTGTCTCTAGAACACATTTTTTGGTGTTCGCCATTTTTCCCTCTGTGCGTGTTCGCCAATAGAACGTTGCTGTACAACTGGATGAAATGTTGTTTCAGGTATCACTCAGAGCTCGTACATCGGTTATTACGAGGTGGCCACTTACGATACCGTGGCCTTGAGACATCATCGTAACCGGTTACGTCGCGATGTCACCGACACAGCCGAGAATCAACCACTGCTGGTCCACCTCAGAGCCCTGGACAAGTGAGTACCACTGAAAAGAATTAATACAGCCGTCATATTGGTTGATAATTTTATTCCATCCCGATAAATTTGATTCCCTCTTGGGAACAGTTGTATTTAAATCCCTTACTTTCGAGTGATCCTTTGACAGAAGAATTAGGCAACCAAAATTAAAATAAGACAGACATTTGCCTCGGGTAGGCAATCTCTGATATACACGATAAAGTTTCCGGGATCGATCGTCGTTACCGGGAAATATCAGAACATCCCATAAATAAAACGAATTTTCTTTGATGTTTGTGGAAGGGAAACTGGAAGTTGGTATCGAAAAATATGTTCAGAAGATGGCGAAATTTTGTATAAAATGAGGGAAACTATATACACGTAGAAAATAAATATTAGTTCTAACTGCGATTTTCTACTTCACCTTCTCACAACCATAAAGAGAATTCGCGTTATATACTTATGGGACGACCCGATAATTCGTATAATCGAAAGCCGTCGGTTTAACGAGAACACGATATATCCTGGTGTGTGATATCAGAGTTCCCACGTAATCGTATCAGTGTACTCGCAGCATCGTCTGGTTAGGTCAATAGGCCTAGATCCAATTAAGGTCAAGTTCGTGGTAGACGCCGTGGGTTCCTGTGTACGTGTCGCGGGCCGCAAAAGCGGGGGTGGTGGGGTGGTTGTAGATGTACGAGTAGATTAACAGGGTTGCACAGGATACTTGGCGCTATATCAAACCCGGGGAAACAAAGCTTTGATGACATTTGAAAGCGATATACTGAGGGGTGGGGAGAATATAATTCCCTCTGTTTGCCGAAAATTATGTTATATTCGGTTTCCTAAGTTTTCCCCTTAAATGAAATTAATTACACACGCCGCCCAGATAGTATTAATTTTCGTAACCAGCGAATCGTTTGTTATTCAGGCGTTCCCGAAACCGGATACACAAAATGGCCCCCGCGAAATTCTATTTTAAACCGTGAAATTGACCACGGTGATCAACCGTTTAATCATTCGTTCCTCTCGGTCACATTCATCCTTACCAAATAGGATATTATTCGGATGGCGAAGTTTCATTTAGTGAATGTAGAAATTCCCCGATTAAGGATGATGGGTCAGGGCTTATCGGACGACCTGAGACGAAAGTTTCGCGGACAAAGATAAAACATCGATCAATTATCGTCACGGACCGAGGTCCTAAGCAGAACCCAATTCCTGATCAGTTTAGCGTATAAATACCATTTAATAAGTTTATTATAGTAAGAGGATTTTTCCAAAAAATTACTAAACTGTTATTAACGATGTTGAAATTTATATATAAAGTTTGATACCTCGGAGTGAGATGCAGATATATAATTTATGAAAGTATGAATTTTTGGGGATTTTCTTTTTCCCCTATCTTTGCCTGAGATTGATAATAGGAAGTGTAAAGTATATAACTAACCTTCCACGTTTAACAATAAGTTAATCTATGTTTTCTGGATGACAACAGAAATTTGTTTTCGACCCTTTAATCATCTAAATTTTGATTCTGCACCACTGTGTGTCGTGCGACGTGTTTGGTGAACGGAAACAGAACCAGCGTTTTTTTTTCGGGCCGCGCCCAGAAAACCGGTCGGGTCACACGCGTCTCCGTTTCAATTCGCGGCCGAGAGAGTATTCCCGTCGATCCTGTCTCCGAAGGTGGCCTGGCCTCTCCTCGCATAGCTCGCCCCCGCGTGCCGGAAATTCGTTTGGCCATGGTACGCAGATAGACGTTTCAGAGCTGAACTCTCGCGGTTCCCGCGACACCGTGGAAATTCACTTCCACCCCCCTTTACCCCTTCGCCCCCGCGAATACCACGACCAGCGTTCGTCTCTTTATGTAAATCGGTCGAATTCACGGCAGGCAATAAAATGTAAAGCAGCGGCTATGGGTAGCTGGAGAAGCCTTTCCTCCTCCTCCTCCTCCTCCTCTCTCCTGTCCACGACGCGTCGTACCAACCGTGTCTCCTCTTTTTCTTCGACCCCTCCCCTAACCCGCACGTCCTTTGCTGCCCTCGGCGTGTTTCCGCCACGATGCACCTGGTACGAACTGGCGAAGATAATGGCGAAGGAGGGAAAACTGCCACCCGTACGACTGCTTCTCTGTCTAGCTGTTTTGAGTCTGTTCTGCATGCGAACAGTACTTCTTGGACGAGGTTACCCGGTTTTGGGTTTCTTTAACATGCTTCTCGATATTCCTTTAACGCTGAATTTCAGTTACATTCTCGAAAAAAAATTGAAATTAGTTTACACAGAACTTGAAAGAATGATACTAGTAAGAATACGATACTGTACACGGTAATAGAACAATCGAGCCGCAACTGTCAGTTGAACTGCACCGAATAAGAACACAATTAAATCTCCCCCCCAGAGGCGAGGGTGAACCAAAACCACCCTTTGATTCTGCATGCACGAACGACGCGTTTATCGCGGACGGAGACATTACCCCACGCTTTGTCGGGTAGCGGACATCCTTTTTCAGGAACTCTTCCTATTTGGATATTGCTGCCCCGGTGTCTTTACTGCCCGTACGTGGGCAACGGAGCGAGTATACGGGAACATAATTTTTCTCGAGCGTCCCCGTGTTATTTAAGAACCCCTCCACCCCTCTTGGGAGAGGGGGACTTTACGACTCGAACCCGACTCGCTCTTTCCGGTACATTTCCAACTGGCTTTCCGTGGCGTATTCTTCTTCCACCGGAGCATTACTGGTGTGTTCGTGGTAATACCGTAGAATTAAGGATGAATTTCTTCGTGGCCTGAGGGTGAACATCGCGAATGAGATCATGGGGGGATTGCACGGGGAATCGTCCTCTGGTCAATCTACTTCCGGTGTAGAACTTGGAAGTTCTCTCTGGTCTCTACGATCTAGTCTAGGTTTGGTACTTCTATAAGAGGTATAACTTCTGCGAAAATTAGATCGTACCTGTGAGACGTTGGCTTAATATACGGTGTATTAGTTTGCAAGAACCAAAAGACCTTAGGGGCGACATTTTGGCCCTTCGTCCTACTTATTATGAGAGATAGTATGTATAATATGGAAACTATGGTTTCTTCGGTTCAAACATTCTCCACTCTAGAGAGCACGACGAGTTAACTCGTCCTCCTCGTGTCGAGACCACAACCGTACAATCGCATTCTTTGCCCATGAGACTTCCGAATATAGTCCCGGGAATCCAGTTCCCCCTTACGTAGGCACAGATTGAGCCCAACCAACGCAGTTCCAGCACGTTGCTCCGCACGGAGGCGTCTAATGACCGCTGCTGCCGGTGGATATTATGTACACACAGAGACAACGAAAGACAGTGTAACGTAACGTTAATGTTAACGTAACAGTGTAAGTTAAATTCCAGAAAATCGTGTTCAACGTTCTTTTTTTTTTTTTTTTTTTTTTGCAATATCCACGCTCGACGAGCGTCGTCGATTCGTCGCCGAGCTCGTCAAACAGCCGCGAAAACGATCAATCAAAATCGGCCCGTGTACCGTTCGGCCTTCGTCCGTGTTGGTTAAGCGTCCATGATGGAAGCATCAATCACCAGAGGGAAAGGAAATTCGTCGCGCGCGCGCGTTAAAGCGTCCCGTCACGTTTGTTGTTGCCTCCTGGTGAATCGTGTTCGACGAATAAATACACGGAATTTATTAGATTCCTCGCTTTCCGTCGCGCCACAGGGGAGAAAGAGGGGGAGGAAAATCGGATTTGCGGACGGCCGTTGGTTATTGGATTCGTTACAGGGGATTCTGGGCCGTGTGCGTCGATGTGTAAGTGAGCAAAGTTTACGAGAAATCCGCCCAGGGGATTATACACGTCTAGATGCTACAGCGAGAAATGAATTTACATGTGTTCACGTGGACAGGGGACTTGTACCGCCGTGGACAATTTTCTTCAGGATTAGAATCGTTCCTCTTGATCTTGTGAATAGGGGAACCTCGAAGCATTCGGACCAGTCGATGCTAACCAGAGATTGGCAAAGTCATTATCTAGATGACAGATTTCGAGTGACGAATAAAATATAATGAAAAGTTAGGAATTCTAATTTTTTTAATGTAGTAACGTTTCTTCGTGAATGATTGGACCTAAATATTTACCTATATGTATATAATTTCCTACACATATGTGTATGTGTATATTACACTAGTATTTACCTGTGAACCTTCTCGCATATAACCCATATATCCGACATTGGTAGTAAAAGGGTTAAACGAATTACGGCTAGAGCCGTCAGATAGGCAAAAACACGCGGCTATATCCGCGAAGAAAACGTAATTTACGACGTGGTGTGTATAACCTCGCGCTCGTTCCTCCCGTAGTAGTATCGGTGCTTCTTAACGGGACCGATTTTAAGGGACAAAGAACGGTGGTGCACCTGGGTTGCGGAGGAGGAAGAAAACAAGGTTCACCGTTATCGCTGGTATCGAATTATCAGAATAATTGCAGTAGATGCGCTCTGCGAAGAGACAGGTAAAGAGAGGGGGAACAGTGTAGGTATAAGGATCCGCGACTAATTGTTGCTCTTCCGTTAATGCTCCGCGCGCGACGTCGATCCTCGTTCCTCACCACGTTTCTCTGTTTCTTTATGCTAATGCGCCCCGTATTAAATTCTTTCCACGAGACAAGGAACAGCGACAGAGGGGGCAGGGAAAAGATCCTTTTCGCGGCTGTCTCGCCTCGACGTTGTCTCAGCTTGGGAAACATCAGTACAGGGATTTTTCGAAGCGAAATCTGCTTAGGTCGAATGGGAATTATCCGAGCTGTGGTCACAACCGGTCCTTTTATGGATTTACTGTCTCTTTGTATGTTTTTTGCTGGTCGATTTTCAGCTGGTAATAATAATCATTTATTTTGCCATATTCCTAGCTAGTTAGTTATAATTTGGTACGTTCTAATTCTAATTCATTTTTAAGTGTAGATCTCACCGATCCCTATCCACGATTCGTGGTGATCAGACTGCGGACGTTTGATATTTAATATTTGATATTTAATTAAACGAACTTTATTTACATTATTAACGACACTATCAGGCCTTAAATAAAATAAAAATCTCATTGATCACGTTTGAAGTATCATACTGTATTGACTTTCGAACGATCAGATATGCTAGAAATGCACAAAATTTATAGTAGTCAGCGATGATCGAAATCAGAGCACGGAACTAGAATTATTTTGTCCGCGGTTCGGCTGATCCCGCGTTGTCTCTCTCGGCTATACACCGTGAATTTAATTAAACCCCAATCCATTTATCCGCGAATCCGGGATTATACGCCGTGGCGAGCTCTCTGCTTCCCATACGCAATCGCGGCCGATCCGCGTTTCAATGTCACATTACTCGTCTAGGTAGGCTAACTCGAATCCTTTCACGTCTCTAAATTTAATATGCCTCGTCTCTGACTCGGTCGAACGACGTTGATCCGCCTGCGTTGTCGTTTCCTTGGTTTCGTCCTTCGACTCAGACGTCCGTTAATATGCCCTCTCTCCTCGTCACGCCGTGTGACTTTCGAGGAAAGAGCTAATGGGAGGCCTAATCGCGATGAAGAACGTGTCATCCAACTGGATATACATATACATCATCGGGGCCTGATCTTGAGCTGAAACCGCTGAATCACTTGGAATTGGGACCAAACGGATCGAACGCAGGCCCGATTAACCCTAGATTATGAGATATTTCACTGTGAAACTTTCGTAAAATTGACTACTCAAAGAAAACCCTGTGTAACTTGGAGAAATAATATTTTTATTGACCTTGTAGTACAAATCTTTGGAACAATTACACTTTGCACGAACTACAGTGTAAAAAATAATTGAAACAATTGACACTTTGAAGCACAAGGTTTTACAATTTAAAAAATGCCTAGTTGCACAGACATTTTTTGTATAAAATGTGTCAGAATATTATTTTAGTTCAATTATGTTTTACTCTGAGTAATTTTACGATTTTGGCAAAATTTTTTTAAAGGAAACTATTGGTAATCTGAGAGTAAACGATGTTGGGACATAAGCAACCATGCTTAAATTATATAAAAATATTTTTTTGTTTCAATTTTTCTTATTGTTTATTGGCTCGAAGTCTTAGAACAGTGCCTCCTGGAACGTGGGGCTTGGGGCTGCAGCCTCCTCTAGCCCCTCCCCTTGATCCGATTCGGATGACTCTGGCGATCCATTCGTTCGACCGTGGAAAAGCTTGCTCATCATCTTGGCTACCTGTTACCATTGACCCTTCCTGGCTGTCGACAGCTCGATCATCCGTCAAACGACCCGGTCGAGGCTGCTGCTGGCTATCCAAAGCAGAATCGCCAAGGTTGCCTGACGTTGGCACTTCGAAGGTTTCCCCCTCCCTTTGTGATTCATCCTCGAACGTCGCTAGCTTCAACTTCTCGCGAATCCGCTCGGGGAGGACCGATAAGAGCGAAAGGAGGAGGGAGAATCCACGGTCCGCGCATAAAACGTTGATTCCATTCCCCCCGTTTCGGAGAATGAGAGGATCAGACGGCATTTGCATAAACGGAATTTTCTGGGAAAGAGCGGACAGGGAAATGAAACTCTTTCGCGATATCCCCTGTGAACACACGTACGGTCTACTCGCTATAATTGTCTCGCGAGTCTCCGTTTCTCGGTTTCCTCTTGATGTTGGATCATCTTTTCTGTCAAATCTAAAATTATTTAGTTAGTTAGTTAGTTAGTTATGATGGAATTAAATACGACACAAAAACGATTGGACGATAACGATACGACAAAACAATTCGGAATGAATAATAAAAGGAATAACGCAAAGAATAACATAATCACGCAACCATTTCAACTCTCGATAACACACAAATAATATACAATACACAGTAAAGTCTCGATAACTGCTCGAAGATCTCTTTACGGTAAATGCTTCTACCGCAAATGCTTCTTCCCCACTATTGGAAAGTTCCACAATGGAGGCTTAGCCTCAAATACAATTCATGAAATATGTTTGCCTATGGAGGATTAACAAAGGTTCATAATTACTATCACGTGGTTGCTGATCGATAATTAGAGGAACGTTGTGAATAACGATCGGTGTTTTTTATTTTTTTGTCACAGACAATGGACGTTACGGTTAATTCGAGACAGGAGCCTATTCAGCAAAGACGCGACGTTCGAGGACACTAATGGACCGATCATCTTCGATACGTCGCACTCGTACGTGGGCACCGTATTGGGTAAGTCTGTTCCAAACATCCAGTACTCAAAAAATTAGTATGAATAGAAAATAAAATTAGCAAGAGAAAAACTATTTAAACAATGACAAAAACAACAAAAAGTTCATTCGGTCGGAAAGAAGCGAATAATCACGGAATATGTCAATAATTTTTTTTCTATTCAATTGTTTTCATGTCAACAATAATGTGATTAAACAGAGACCCATTAAGGTGCGTATCCACTTGTATAAAAATGTACGTATGGTGATACGCAACAAATGGATACGCATCTTTAAACTGGAGCCGGATAATCGAGAGTCTACTATAATAAAATAGCAAAAATATCTAAATTCTAAAACTTGTCGCGACAGGGGAGGGGGGTGGAAATCATGAATCGAGTTCAGAAATCGACTTTTCAGGTTTAATACACAATATAACATGAAAGAGCGTCAAAGCTCCGTCGACTTCAAAGCCCCGAGCGCACACATTCATATCCCTTTGAAAGGATCCCCCTCCAGGCTTCAAGCGTTCGGATTTTCGACACCGATCAAGCCACCGTCAATTTTCGAGTTTCGTTCCGTCGGCCCAGAGAATTCCGATTCGATTGGAAACGCTCTCGAAACGGCGTGTTTTCGGTGGAATACGCGCGCACGCGAACTGGCTCTACCGTTGCAAGTAAATGGAATCTGAAATGAACTACTGGGAACTGCTGACTCTCTTGGCTAGACCACGGCCGTCCAACGGAACCATTCGCCGATTGACGTTCGTCGACGAAAGACGCGTAATCCTCGCCGGTCCTCTCATTCCCCTCGCGACGCGATTCAGCTTGGGGAAATCTCATTTCGATGGTCATCCTCTCGTAGTAGTTTGGAACCGAGCCAGACATCCTATTCAAGGTGGTACACGAGCAAGAGGTCCCGACCGGCGTGTACCTCGAACGATGTACACGCCTGATATACACACGTGCCAACCCCTTTTCCCCCTCAAAGTTCCACGAGTTACGTGTTCTTCACCCCCAATGTGTTCGTTTTTCGACCGAGCAAAATATTTTCTTTCTTTTTTTTCGAATATGTACCTCCTGTGCGTCTAGCTCCGGTTGGCAAACGTGTTCGACTTATGATTTCGATCGAAACTTCACGGAAAAATGCTAGTTGAAAATTCTTTGCAATGCGGGTTGCATATCGCTGGTTTCGCGGGGGTTTGAATTGTACCGGTCGGTAATGCAGATTTCGTCGCTCGTTGTTATCCCCTTGGAGGGTAAAGCAGTTTGTAATTGGTAATCATGAAGTTATTCCACCGTCGAGGGAGAGTACTCGCGGCTGAAAAACAGGCTTCGTTGTTTAATTAGGACGCTGTTGTAAGGATACACGAGGGGAAGTTTGTCGGTGAAAGTCGCGGGAAACATGGTGTGGAGCCATCACAATTGTTCTCTAAAACATACCAACCCTTTAACGTCCAAACACCTCTTTCGGGAAAATAATTATTTGTATTTCCACGACAGAACCCCTGGAAATATGATTTTCCAAATGTGACTTATAGGTCATATTGGAATACTCTTCTGGGATGTACGAAGAATAGAAAGAATTTTTGTTTTATTCTTCGGCTGCATTTAATTGAACTGTATTTATAAATATTACCAACAATCAATTGGTAGGATATCCCTTTTTTATTTACAATTTTGGAATAACCTCTGAATGAAGGAAAGACTAACCTATCCTTCCTTCAAGAGGTTAAAGGGTTAAACTTTCGACTGTTCGGCGAGGAGTTCAAAAACAAGCGGAGCTTGGAAATTTATTCCATTATCGTCCACACGCGCGGAGGTGGTCTTTTCGAGTCGGATGTTTATTCCAGGACTGATAAGGAATGAAAATAATTGGAAGCTGGCGGGGAAATAAGCCGTGTCGCAACTGGCTCGGATATAAAGGAAGAGTAACTGTTACACGGGCGGGGGGGGGGGATTTCGTTTTGGCTCCTCCGATAGCAGGCGCGTGTTCTGGCTACCTTTTCCCTGTATGTATATGGAAACAAATATATATCGAACTATCTGATTTCGCAAAAGGGGAACGTGTTCTCCTGCGCGATATGATTTCGTGTGTCGAATAAGAGTCGAACCGGGTTTGAAACCGCAGCAGCAGCGCTCGAAACTCGATGCCTGAATTTTTTGGTTCCCTAGTCATCCTGAAAAGATTAACAAAATCATGTATCACAACGAAACTCACATTTGTAAGGTGTATACGTACTTTTAACTCTCACCATGGGCGTAGCCAGGGATCTTAAAAAAAGGAAAAGTGGCTTTTGCCTCACCGTATAAGGAAAAAATTGGATTTTGCCCCCACTCCCTTACTTCCCAGAGTTACAAAATTTTTGCCTAACATTTAATAGTGCAGTATAATTTGAGACACGACCAACAACCTCTATTAACAAACGCATACATTTTTAACGATTTATGACTTTAAAAATAAAATAAAGTGTGTCTGGCTACATACAGCCTTTTCCACTGTGGCAGTCCATGTGTTAATATTTTTGCCCCCTGACTGATAATCTGGCTACGCCCATGGCTGTCCGTGGTCTTGTGAACGATGCTTTTCATTAACAAGTCCGTTGATCAATCACAGAACAATGTTACACGAGACCGAACAACCAGAAGCAAATGACAGGTGACCATAAAAAGCTGAACAGGAGGCATTACGCGGTGGAAATTATAATCGACCGCGACCATAGACCGATGCAGATAATCGGTCGCTCGCAGGGCTGTCCAATTGGGGAATCGCGGAAGATGAAATGGTCGGTCGCGGAACAACCGCGTTACGATCGACAGTTTATCTTGTTGACTCGAACGATACGCAACGAGTAATTCTTATTCGGATTTTTAAATTTAGATAGTTTTCTACAGAGATGGGCAAATTCATTATCGAGATATTGGGTGGACATTATCAAAGATAAAGGAAAGTACTTCACCATTTCCAATTGATTAAACGTGGAAATTCCAATCTTTACAATAAAGTAATAATTTTTTTTGATTGATCCCAAATCTGGTATTCTAAAACCATTATTTCTGGAACTGATACGTCCGAAGGAATTTTCTTTGTAACAGTTAAAAACTTGATGAAATAATAGATTACACAAGTTTTCAAATAATTATATTATTTTAAACATTTCGGGAGGACCCCAGCGGTCCCCGTAATTCGAGGAAGGGTTAAATTAAGACGACTTTTCGATCGAGTCGTGTGTGTGGGCGTAACACATGACGCACGGAATGCACTGCGTGCAGGTTGACGCGTATCACAGGATAATCCGATTACCGATTGAACTTGGCTAATTGACGATGTGTACCTGCGTGTAATTGCATCGGCCGGAAACAAGCGATCGACGGGCTACGATAATGGGGAATCCCAGGGACACACGATGATGCTTGGCAAGTCACTTGGGATAATTACAAACAAGGTGATCTTGCAAATGCAAGGAAATATATTTCATGAGAACGACTATATGTATATCTGCAGCTGTCAGGAAGAACGCCGCATGTCACAACTTCGAAAACTTTCAGTTTATGCATTAATTGAACTGTAGAATATTTAACAATTTTATTACATACCCCTACAGAGCATAAAAATGCATTAAATTTTCAACATAACTCTTTTTTTATATTTACTGCAGTTGTCAAGATATACAGGGGAATCATAAAACACACATAAACCTTCAAGGGGTGGTTTCACCCTAAAGAACCGAACATTAGCAAGACCAAAAAATTGCCCAATATTTAAGTTCTCTTACAAATCTGCTTTATTTAAAAAAAAAAATCAAAGTTTTCATGCTACCTAGTACCTCAGTAAGTAGTCCAAGGTTCACAACAAAGGTTACAATCCTTTATCGAGGAAATTCCAGCAAAAGCAGGATCCAGACGTCGCGTATATGTATACAAATCCTTGTTCCCCTGCCCATTCTAGAGGTCTTTCTTGCCAGTTCAGCTGCTATCCGCTTTTTCTTTGCCTGAGTCGAGTCGATTAATTTCGAGACGACGTCGACGAGGAGGGGGGATGAGTTTCGGGGACGAAGTTGCGGCAGGTTCTTCTGGCCACTAGCCAGTCTCCGGCTCGACGTATTCATAACCGACGGTGCTTCCATCCCCCCCTTTTGCCTCCTGGTACGGAGCTTTTCACACTCGAGGGTTACAAATTACGGGGGACGAAATGGCGGAGATAAAATGTGTACTTAACGCGCCGGTACTTTGGCTAATTAAGCCGGGATTTCAGAGTGGCATAGCATCCTCACCCCTTTCGTCTTCGCCAGGCTCTTAACCTCTCGTTTCCCGCCGAAGGAACTCATCCTTTTTAGCCCCGGCTATTGTTCTCGCCTCCATTTCCCTACGATTTTTCGTCCATTGTTTCTTCGCCTCCTCCGGGAGAGGCTCCTTAAGATCCCCTTTAACGGCCGGAAGAAAAAGGTGACACTCAAGCAATTTTTTATTAAAAACAGCAAAGACGATATGGTAAAAAAGATTCCTGGTCTTTATTTATTACAGATTCAAGAAAATAAAAAAAATGTTGTTTCAATATTTTTTAACTTTTTACGTTATGATGAGCACCGTTTGTATGTAGTGGAATTTCGCATCGACACGATTAGCGCCACCCACAATGCAGGAATATTGAAACAAATATTTTTTTTATTTACTCGAATCTATAATAATTAAAGACCAGGAAGTGTTTTTATCGTATCTTCTTTTCGTTCTTTTAAAAAAAATTCCTAATTATCACCTTTTTTTCGGGTTGCTAAAGGCACCTTAACTCCTTCGTGATTCCGTCGCCTAATGACGATCGTTTCAAGCGTCTTTCTCTATCTCTGTTCCTCGATTTGTGAACCGTGACGCGAAAGGGGTGGATACCAAGCCCCCAATTTGATGTCTACTCACACACAGGGGCATATCATTTTCGCGAACCGTCGCGTAACCATCGAACGTCACCGATAATTAAGGCCGCGAGCCTGGTCAATGATCCGAGTGGTCCCCGTCGGAGGCTGGAAAC